AAGCTCAAGAAGTAGAGAGAAAAAGTAGAAGTTGCGTCCTTGATGATTTCTTCTTCCCATATCAAGGCCAAGGAACGCTATTAGCCCCCCCCGCACCCCACCCCCCATGTGTCTTGGCAAGCAAGGGAGAACACAGTGCATACATTTGGATACACGGTCCGTGAGGTCCGTGAGGTACCTTTTAGTAGCTGCTCATCCCAATGTTACCCTCTGGTAATTTAACATAGCTATGGAAAATCACCATTTTTAATGGGAAAATCCACTATAAATGGCCATTTTCAATAGCTATGTTAGTTTACCAGAGGGTAGGACCCAAGTTTTTTCGGAGATTGTTGGTCGCTCGCCCAGCACCATCTTGTGGATCCCAGGATATTGCCCGATCTCTTTGCGACAAAAAAAACCATCCAAGATCTTAAATAAAGATGAATTGACGTTTAAAAAAAAACTTTGGATAAGCAGATCTTTATCTGGTTGGTGGTTTCAACTCCTCTCAAAAATATGAAAGTCAGTTGGGATGATTATTCCCAACATCTGGAAAAATAAAAGACATGTTCCAAACCACCAACCAGTCATGTTTCCCCATACGGGTCATATGGATTTGTCAGAAATGGTGCTAGCTGGTATCCCTAAATCTACTGGTTGATCATGATGGTCCCTAGTAAGAAACTCATATCTTGGGGATGGGAGTCTTCATTTTTAGGGCACACCGGTATCATATAATATTGTTGGGTGTAATATCTATATTATCAATACATATATAATATATTTATATTTATATCAATATATGTTCCATTTTAGCCACAATAAAAAGATTAAAAAGAAATCAGAATAAATATATCCCAACATGTCCATAATTTCCAATTCAAACATAACAATGCCACAACTTCCCGCAATATATATCCCACACGAATCGATCTTTTAGGATCACATCCCCTGTGAAAAAAAATGCGATTTCATCACATCCAAAAATCCCATCAGTAAATTGAAATGATGATGTTGATGGGATTTTTCCATGTACCCAACCTGGTTATGACATTCACAGTTTGCCATGGTTTTTCGATGGCCCTAATCGAAATAGATGGTGAACAACTGGGTTTACCTAGCTATATAGCATGGTGATTTTCCATGGCGAACTGTTAAATAACCAGAGGGTACAAGTAATAACATTGTTCTAAATGTTAAGAATCCCTAAGAATCCCTGCGTGCCGAAGGGCGTTCTGCTGTTTTCAGATCATACCAAATGACAAATCATGTAGTAATTCATTCCAGTGGTCGTGTCACCTCTGCCGCACACACCGAGGTGAGACAACTCTCAGTGCTATAACTGGTGGGATTTTGCCCCATGATTTCAATGTGAATCATCACAATCCCATCAAAATCACCATCCATTTTTGGGATAGTTGACATGGGAAAAGTATATATGTCAAATCCCACAATTTCCATGTCATGTCCCAGAATTGAATGGGATCGTTGACATTTTCCCATCCAAAATCCATCAAAATCCATCAAAATCCCGGCCTCTTCAGCCAGGCAGCCTCCAAAGAGCCGAACCCAGAAACTCTCGTTTTCGGCGCGGGGGTTCGCCTGGCCGACAAAATTTCGCCGTGGTTTCCACGCAGAGCACTGGGAGAAACCCATGGGAAAAATCGAGGAAAACCATGGGAAAACCCATGAAGCCCCAAGCAAAAGCGTGAGAAACCTGGCAGATTGCATGGACAATTCATGAAACCTTTGGAGAATTCGAGGTTGGACATAGAATGATGAGGATTGAACCAAGAAATATTCAGCTCAAATGTTTGATGGAGAATTACGGCAATTTGATGAAAACGAAACATGTGATTCGAGTGGGTCCCACTAAGTGGGATGATCCAACTGTAGATTGGGTCCATGGTTACGAACTGAGTCCTTTAACCACTTGTAACTGGGATATTTAAGCTGGGTTAGTTTGTATTTGTATGTATCAATACTTAATCTATCATTAAGATAGCATCAGATGCATTCACGTGACAGTTGAACATATGCACCAAGCCTGCCCATAACACTACACGTAAAATATATATGTCGATGGCCACCAGGCCAAAATTTGGGTATCACTACAGTTGGGGATGGAACAGAAACATAAGCCACAAAATTTGGGTAAACTGAGAAGTCGCCACACAAGAATGTGGGATTCAAATTGGCTACAGATGTTCAACATTCTTTGGGGATCATGTTGGGATCATGAGGAGAAATTGGGAATCATGTTCTGCCTGTCATGGTCATGTCAGTGATGTCTATTACTAAGTCTATTACTCTCCACAAGTCTTCTGCAAGGTAACCCTTCAATACCATATTATAATACATATGCACTCTCCTCAGCATTTTGGACATGTATTTTTGGGGGGTTCCCACCGATGTTCGATGTTTTCTGATTGAAAAGTCGCTTTCACTAATATTTCCAAAGAGTGGTGGAAAAAACCAACCAATCTAAAACAGCAAGTCTTCTGAATGGAACTCCGGTGATCCCTTGGTCATGTCATCTCGACCTGCTCACCATCAACGATGCGATATCTGCTGTCCAACAGTACTTCGATGGCCTAAAAGGCGGGGATGGGATGATGCCGGCCTAGACGTGTCCCATCAAAATCATTCGGATTTTGATGCTACCCCAATTGGGGAGTTAACATGAGTTAACCATGAAAAACCGGGAGTTGACATGATTGTATCATGAAGGCCGGGATTTCACCCATCATCCCTTAGGACAATCAATTGCATCAAGAACAAGGAGTCAATCAATATCAAGCAATTGATAAGAACGAAAAATCGCATGCGTCTGAAAATGGGAGATACACTGGGATAACCCCCAATTTTTGGTCATCTGAAAAAAAGGAAAATCAGATAACATCTTTTCCCAAAAATCCAATGCCAAAGGGATAAAACTGATCGGGCCACTCTATGTGCCCCATTTCTCGGGATCTAACCTTGCCGCAAGGGCATTGAATGGGCTTGGTATCCCTACCATTCGACAAGACAAACCGACTAAAACTCCATGTTTATCTTGTCTCATACCCCCCAAGTTTTGTAGGTTAGGTATAGGTGTCTCTATTATTTATATATATATATACAAATATTTTTTGCATACGTATGTATATATATATATAATCATATATTTATATATGTATGTAGTATATATAATCATATGTTCATATGTATATATAATTGTATGTTTATATGTATATAATGTTAACATCCAGTTAGTAAACCCGCCACAAAAAAGTAGGCCAAATCCTGGGACATAGTATATAGTTAGACCCCACCACAATAAAGTGCGCCAACCGATTCTGGGTGTGTGTGTTTTTTCGGTTGTTCTTTGTTTATCACTGGCTTGGTTCCAGGGAGCATTTGCAGGAAACCATGTTTTTCCACAGAAATAATCGCCGGTTGGTGGTATACCTACCCTCTGAAAAATGATGGAGTTCGTCAGTTGGGATGATGACATTTCCAATAGATGGAAAAAATCAAGCCATGTTCCAGTCACCACCAATCAGATAGGGTGGGTCCTTCCAGCCTCGTCCAGTTGCAGGTCCGAGATCTCTGGGGCCTGCGTTTGGGACCCAACTAAAAAGGCCATGACTGGGGGAACCAACAGAGACTTGGACATGTGAACCATATCGAAAGATGTGAGTTGTGGGTCAGTGTTTCGATACGGAGCGCGGGTGCGAGAAGGATGAGATTGGGATCGAAACCTGGAAAAAATATGGTCTTACTCAACAATCAGTGCGGGTCAAATTGGGTCAACAGCCACCAATTGGTCCCACTCATCCCAACTTTGAGTTGGTCATGCGGTAGGGATGAAAAACAAGACTGCTAAAACCGCCACATGGCCAGCAATGCGCCTTTCTGAAAGTTCAGGGCACAAGATGAATGGAACTGAATGGAAAAGATTGGGAAAAATTTTGATGTCTATCGTTACCCTCTGGTAAACTAACATAGCTATGGAAAATCACCATTTTTAATGGGAAAACTCACTATAAATGGCCATTTTCAATAGCTGCGTTAAATTACCAGAGGGTATACCCCATGAAATCCCATTAAATCCCATTAAACCACCATTTTCCTATGGTTTTCCTATGGTTTTCCTATGGAATATCAATGCCATGATGGACCTTGGATATCGTTGGATGAGCCATCCCAGTTGGCTGAGAATGCCCCGTGTCATGACGCTTGGTATTCTTGCGTGTATGGAACCCAGTGAAACTAGATCGTAAGAAAGACACTTGCTAACCATGAAATGGGGGGTCGAAAATTATACTGTATATATAATGTAATATAATATAATATTATATAATATATTATATTATTATATTATATTATATTATATATTATATTATATTATATTATATATTATATTATATTATATATAGTATATTAATATATAGTATTATATTATATATAGTATATAATATATAGTATATAATGTATAGTATATAAAATATAATATATATATGATATAATATATAATATATCATATATAATATAAAATATATCATATATCATATATAATATATAAGATATAATATATAATATATAATAAATAACATATAATATCTAATATATAATATCTAATATAATATATATATAATATAGTATATAATATATAGTAAATAAAATATGATATATAAAATATTCAATATAATATATAATATATAATATTTAATATATAATATATAATATATAATATTTAATATATAATATATAATATATAATATATAAGTTATAAATTATAATATTGTATCTAATATCTAAAATCTAATATATAATATCTAATATCTAATATATCATAATATTTAATATATAATATATAATATTTAATATATAATATATAATATATAAGTTATAAATTATAATATTGTATCTAATATCTAAAATCTAATATATAATATCTAATATCTAATATATCATATATAATATTTAATATCTAATGTATCTAATATATAATATATAATATATAAAATATAAAATATATTATCTAATATCTAGTATATAATATCTAATATCTAATATATAATATATAATATATAAGCTATGATATATAATATATAATATATAACATATAATATATAATATATAATATATAATATATAATATATAATATATAATATATAATATAATGTTTAATATATAATATATAATATATAATATAATGTTTAATATATAATATTTAATATATAATATATAATAAATATAATATCTAATATATAATATATAATATTCAATATTTAATATATAATATATAATATTTAATATATAATATATAATAAATAATATATAATATATAATATCTTCTATAAAATATATAATATATAATATATAATATAGAATATATAATTTACAGTAACATATAGTTCGGTCCCGCATATGCGGTTCTCAGGGGGATGGCCATGCAACAATGGGGCAATCTGCTACCCCTTGCCCAGGAAATCTTGGAAATTCATGGCGACCGCAAATGAAGATTGTTTCCTCACTACTTTAAGTTTAGTTGAATATTCACATCGATATTACAGTAATATTCACATGGTAATTTTATTTTGAAATGGTCAAATTTACAAAAAAATGGACAGAAATCAAACCAAAATCTGCCCTGGAAAGAAATTTGTAACCAATGACTATCCAGGTATATATATATATGTAAATATACAAATGAATCTTGACGACCAACAAGCCAAAGCTCATCCCGGTACAGTACGATTATCCTGCTCCCGTTGTACACCCGATAGTCCCCCAGAAACACCTTGGTTGAGTGATCTAAATTGTCTCAGATACCCTGCCGATGACAATTGTTGGCATGTACATATTCCCCTTTGTGGCTCGACTCTCGCATGAACTCAAAGTTCCATAGTAAAACTGTTTCGGACTCTGGTGGTGGGAACAGCGTACCTGAAGATGAGGTGAGGCAAAGTGACTGGCTTCCCATTTGTAGCAAAAATACATAGCCTCCAAATGTATTTTGCCCCAGTTGGTATCTATTCCTACCTGGCTTGTATAGATTCTCCCAGATGTAGCAAAAAATGAAGCCAGTAACCCGCTGGTTTTGTCTTAAAATATGATTGATATTGGTTCATCATTTTCCCTAAAGTAACAAGTGGAGCCCCATTTTTCGAGACACCCAACTATCATATTCTTGGCTCTGTATGTATATTATATATGTATCTCCCATTATAGTACCCTCTAGTAATTTAACGTAGCTATTGAAAATGGCCATTAATAGTGGATTTTCCCATTAAAAATGGTGATTGTCCATAGTTACGTTAGTTTACCAGAGGGTATCGCCATTTTGTTTACAGTAACATCCCATATTTGTTGCCTAAATCCCCCAGTCATCTACACCCTGCCGGCCCTACCGCCTCCGCGTCGTCCAAGGTGTCAAGATCGGAGTCATCGCAAGGGTCATCACACTGCGCCGGCGTGGGTGGTAGAATCTAGATCTACATGGGGGTTTCCATAAATTTTGGTACCCCTAAATGTATGGTTTATAATAAGGGAAAAATTAGGGGGACCCCCATTTATGGAAACCAAATGAAACCCCCACATAGAGTACAACACGCGCAATTGATCCCGGGGTTGTATGATTGGGTGAAACCGCATTGCAACATTACCGCTTCAGTTGCGCAATGCAGAATTACTGAATTCGTAGTCTTGCTGCTTGAGCGCGTGTGCAAGGTCCCGGCTTTCGCAAAGTTATTAAACAGCACAAATTTGAGTCATGACGATCCGGTAGATCCTATTCTTCCACCCCTTCAAAATCTAACAGACTGGAACACCATCTTTCAACCCCACTTTTGGAGGTGCCATGTCACCTTGAACCTTCCCCAGCCTTCATCCTGTTGGCCTCAACCAACACAATTGAGGCACTATCTCATCCATTGATCCATTCCAAGGGCCACAAATGGTGCCTTGTAATCCATCTTCAGTTTGTACTCTCCCGCCCTTGGTAAGCAGGGATGATGGTTCGCCAGTTCTCGAAAACTGCGATCACTTGTGCATAATGATGTTGTTTTGGGAAGACGAGGCTCGGTTCTGTATATTATTCTTTGTCAAGAGGGGTACCCCTCTTGCTTAACCAACCAACCAACCAACCAACCAACCAACCCGGAAAAGGACATCGACCTGTGGGGAAATGATCGACCGGAGGCCAAGTTCTGATCAAACTGAATCGGGTAGTTACTAAAAACCACCCCTCACAACTTCCACAAGCAAGAAAATAAAAATTGTTAGCACCACCAATTGAAAGTGTTTGGGAAGCCGAATAGAAAAAGAACCTTGAACCTTCCTCGGAAACCATTAAACTACCTCCTGGCATATATTGGTATGCATCTCAAAAGATTGGAGCTGGAGAGCGTTTAAAAAAAATAGCACTCTGGAACTTACATCGGGAAGGTTCAAGCTGGTACCATGCTGGTTGCTTCTTCTCTAGGAACTGGCCCACATTGCCACATGCGATAAGCACCTCGCCTGTCCCTTGACTGAGAGTTGTAAGCTGAAAAAAAACGATCAGCCCAGTTCCGATTTTGGACCCTACCTGCCAAGAGGAGACAATTGTTTGTTTGTTTTTTTGCTTGTTTGTTTGTTTGTTTTCCCGGACAGAACACAAAGGCTCATTTCATCCAGGAACACAAACAAATATATGGTTATGCTTTTCCCACAAGTACCCACCACGTCTTCACAGTGGTGAAGTTGCTACAGAGATCTAAAACAGTCCTAGCTATCCCTAGCTTCAGAATGGCCAGGTCCTTCTATCCTTTCGACAAGGGCAGTTCGCCCTTCTACAAGTTGACAACTTGTCCAGAAAATGGGGTAACCCCAAATAGCCGCTGAAAATAGGTAAAATGATGATAAACCACGTGACTTTGGTGAAACAAGCTTACAACCGAAACCATAAGGTTGGTGTTTAGTGCTTCTCATCTGTTCCACGTTTTTCCCCGAAGAACCATTTTAAAAAAAGAAAGGTTGGAAATAGGGGCCCAGTATTACCACATTTGTGGAAATGCAGCATTTGTTTTTCTCTATTATGTTCGAATCTATGCTCATAGACCTTCACTTACACAATGTTCCTTAATATCATGGAAACATTAACACATATCACCGAAAAAAACACATTGCGAAGCACTTAAGCCAGAATACTTGACGGCTTTCTTGTTCCTTCTTCAGGATATGTAATGGCAAGATATCCGAGCCCCAAAGATCCTCCGGAGATGCCCAAATGTAATACATAGCTTCTAGAGGGAGGGGGGTCGAAAAACAAAAGACAATATATATATATAATATATATATAGTATATATATATATATGTTTTTTTCTAAGTTTCTTTTTTTTAAGGGATCTCTCTGGGAATCTCTGGGAATCTCTGGGGATCTGGGGATCTCGAACGGAATCTCCGGAGATCTGATCTTTGGGGATCTCTACAGATATCTGTGAGTCACACTAAGAAAAAAAGAATAAAGGAACAGGAAAATCACCGTTGCCCTTACATATCCTGAAGAAGGAACAAGAGAGATTTTAATGAGGACAACAGATATGCATAACAAGGTCTGATGGTTACGTCCATTGATTATTTGCCCATATGCCTCAGAAGAATAGTCCACTATTTTCCTGTTGGGAAGAAGGCTTTAGCATAAGCTTTTGCTCTGAACCCGTTTCACTTTGTATTATAGGTTTGCTCCTAGCCATGGTTGAATATATATATAGGTATATCCTTGAATATATCTTGTGTTCTGATCGCTCTATTTCAACTACAGGCTACCGCTATTTAGGCTAAACACATTTTTTGATCAGAACATTCATTCATAATTTTTGCTAGCATGATAACCGATACAAACTGACCATTCTGCAAGGGTATCCCTAATGATAGTTATATGCAATTCTAAAAGTATGATGACGTGTAATGTCCAGATATGTGCTTTGCCTGTATTGCTTGCATTTGACAAAGCAAACAAAATAACATCTATAGAAAAAAAACACAAAAACATAAGACTATTAATATGAACAACACAAACCGTCAAAAAACAGCTAAATTACGTGGAAAAATTGGGCCCTCATTTCCAACCACTCTCTAAAAATATGAAGAGTATGGCGACCCAATTCGTCCAGAGGCCCCAAACTTTTCCTTCTCTTTGAAAACGCCACGGAGGGAAAGCTTCGGCACCATCTGAGTCGCAAAGAAGGTGGCGGAGGGGCATCTGCCAAACGAATTTTCAGCATGGGATGGAAAAACAGAACAGAACCGTTTGGAGAAACCACATTGATTTGCTGTGGAATGCGGAGTATAAATCATGAGTCTCTAATGTCGGCCTCATAATCATCCAGCAGGTCGATATCAAGTGTGATTTGGGATGTCGGCCTCTCAAAAGGATAGCTTTGCAAGTTTGGGTTTGGCTTGGGAAAGTCAAAAATTAAGCCCACCAGTGTATGATATGACTGATATCACATTGATTTTGAGTAATCCCGAAAAACATCGAAAATTCGTGGGACTTCGCCATCCAACATAGTCTGGGGGTTGCAAAATGTTATATCTCAACCAGTAAGGTCCAAGTTTGTTCTCCTCAAACCTTAGCTTCCCGACGGGACGTGGCCGCCTAAGAGGCCGCAGGGATTGCGCACGGTGCGAACTGGAAAATTCCGGGAAAAAAAAACACATACTATGGGCCGGAGTGTCCTGAGGTTGATTTGGCTTTGCCATGCTTTCCCCAAAAGGAAGGATGATCATCAGCCATCAGCCTAGAGATTTTGGACGAACTGGGTGACCACGGCAGACGTCCCGAATGAATTTTGGGGCACCCTGCGGAACACATGGCGCCGCCAACGCCCTGGGTCTCAGTGAAGTTAGGATCTGGATCGTATGGGATATAATTAATATGGGATATAATAGGTATAATAGGTATTATCAAGGATGTCATATGGGATATAATATAGGATATTATAGCTATATAACAAGGATATCATTGAACCATACTTAACCAGCAATATGAATTGGAGTTTTTTTTGACGATTCACCAAGCTGAAATAAGGCCCGCTTCCTTCCAATGATCCACCATACTAACTATCATTTCCAGTGACGTCGTGGTGAGGTCGTTACAATCTATCTAAATTAAATGTTAGTTACTGGTCGAACAGAAATGTGTTGTACTGTATGTTTAATATTGTTTCATGGGAATTAAACCAAAAACAATGGGGAGCCTTGGGAAGTGAATTTGATTTCATCACAATGTCGATCTTACCAGCAGAAATGTGGATTTAACATGATTTAACCGATGATACTGGGGATTTAACAGTTGCGATCAATGGCCAGTTACTGCTTTACAACCACATCTAAATACTGTAAGATGATGTAAAATATGTAAATGGGTGCATTATCACCCAATTGTCTGGGATCCATTGTGAGCAACATCGGTAACTGGGTGGAACTGGCAACCATGGATCAAAACTGTAGTTGGGATCACACAAGGGAAGGCATGCTTTTCTTAGGTCCAGCTTAAATTGCCAGTGTGTAAGCTACAACGACTCCCCAAAGAAAAGATAAGTCAAATAGCAAGTCAACCACAATAACCATCCAAATGGCAACCAAATCCCATTTCTATTTTTTCAGACCCCAAAAAAATACTCCAACCTTTGGTTTCCCCCAATGACAATACAATGGGAGAAGACATCCCAAAATGTTTTTGTCCAAAAGGGGAATCTAAGTAGTGAAAATGATGGTTTGAATTGTTCAAACCAATAGGTTTTTGGTTGTTTTCCCAACCTACGATAGTATGAGTCTTGTTATCACAATGCAACAAATATTACTTACTATCAACTACTGTACATTCTATAGTATACATATATATATATAATGTGGGCAAAACAATGATAAACCATCCCCCAGATCACCATAAATAGGTGGTATAACTCATTCCCAGTCATGGGTGGTTTATTCTTCTCCCTCGCCCCGCCACGCACCACGCACCTCGCAAGAGGCGGCACCTCAACGACTGAAGCACCACATTTCTACTGGGTCAACCTATACCCTCCGGTAAACTAACAGTTTGCTAATGAAAATGGCCATTTATAGTTGATTTTCCCATTGAAAATGGTGATTTTCCATAGTTATGTAAACGTTTACCAGAGGGCGGTATTTCTAATCATAAGATATCATCACTGGAATCAAAGTGGTTGACTTATAACTTAAGCTTCACTTGGCTGACTTGGGTGGTAAAAATGAAACTGACCAAGTTAGATTAGTCAACTGAATCAGAGTCATAACTGCTGGTGTGATGAAAACTGGTCAAAACATAACTGTGTAACCACCTGTTTGAAATAGTTAGATCTGGTTTTCCTTTCACCGCCAGGTAAAAACAAAATCCCGATTCTTGGTTTATTGTCTTATGATATCTTATGATCATAAATGGTGCTTAATGGTGCTTATTTACCCATAGGTCTTGGGATGAGATATTTATCCTGCTGGAGTTGTAATGACGAATGTAAGGAATTTCCTATGATGCTTTGGAGAAAATCACTGTTTGAGAAAATTGGATAACTTTTAGTGGCATTCAGTGACCTTGACCTATCTTTTTGCAGGAATAAATTTGAAATCGAATTGTATGGCCACACCCCATCCAGTAGTACGGATGGGGGGGTTGATGGATCCTTCTGTTAGCAGGACAAGTAGGAACCAAATTCTGTACCATCTAGCTCATCTAGACATGCTCATCAAATAATTTGTCCCACTTGCTGGTATCCGATTTCATGCTGTGTTCACACAAAGAATGTGGGTTTGTTGGAACACTTCGGAAAAAACCTTCCACGGGATTCTCATCATGCCCATTAAAATTGCAACGTTGGTCGAATCCTCCATGTTCCCCATGAAATACGCCCATCAGAATCCCATGAAGTCGTCCCATTCAAATACACCAAGAAGCCAGTCAAACACCATTTGTCAACACCATTTGTCAACACCATGGCCCGCACCTCTTCCTCTTCTACTCCACCTGGAAGACGTCCTGCCGACCAGCAGAAATATGTGTATGTATATATATATATCATATAATATCATATTTATACATCCATCCAAATACATATACATATAATGTATATATATATATTATCATTATTATTATTATCATTATTAGTCATTATTATTGTTATATAATCATTATTATTACTGTTATCATTACTATCATTATTGTTGTTATTGTTATTATTATTGTATATGTATTCTATATTCTATGTATATTACAAATTATATAAATTAAATATCATTTCATATTGTCTCATATTATATCATGTTATATCATATTATATCATATTATATGATGTTATATCATATTATATCATGTCATATCATATCGTATGGTGTCATATTATATTATATCATATTATATTATATTGTATTGTATTATATTATATCATAGTACGCCATATTGTATTGTATTATATATATACTATACATGTGGCTATCTGTGGCTATTGCGACCCAAAAGCAGGTTAGCAAGGGACTCGCAGTGTTTAACATGCCAATTTGGGTGTCAATAATTTTCAGACAATCCCATGTTTATTGAGGGCTATGCTGTAAAGACCTTTGACCTAGACTCGTATTGTAGGAAAAAACCATTCATCCATGTCTCAAACATCACTCAATCGGGATGAATCATCCCGTTGAAAAAAAATTACTTTACTTCGTGTGATCCCCACCATGACATTTATACATTTTCTTACTGGCAAATCTTCTGGCATTCTATCTGACATATCTTCTGACATTCTATTTGGCATTCTATCTGGCATATCTTCTGGCATATGATCTGGCATATCTTCTGGCATATCTTCTGGCATTCTATCTGGCAAATTTTCTGGCATTCTATCTGGCATATCTTCTGGCACTCTATCTGACATATCTTCTGGCATTCAATCTGGCATTCTATCTGGCATATCTTCTGGCATATATTTTGACATATCTTCTGGCATTCTATCTGACATATCTTCTGGCATATATTCTGACATATCTTCTGGCATATCTTCTGGCATATCTTCTGGCATATCTTCTGACATATCTATCTGGGATATCTTCTGGCATATTTTCTGGCATTCTATCTGGCAAATCTTCTGGCATTCTATCTGGCATTCTATCTGGCATATCTTCTGGCATATTATCTGGCATTCTATCTGGCATATCTTCTGGCATATCTTCTGGCATATCTTCTGGCATATTTTCTGACATTCTTTCTAACTTTCTTCTGCACATTCTTTGTCCCATATCTTCCTACATGAGGTCCGGCAGGGAACACTTGGCGTGGATACTCGCGGTTGAGGTCCGGCAGGGAACACTGGGCGTGGATGGTCGTGGTTGAGGTCCGGCAGGGAACACTGGGCGCGGATGGTCGCGGTTGAGGTCCGGCAGGGAACACTGGGCGCGGATGGTCGTGGTTGAGGTCCGGCAGGGAACAACACTGGGCGTGGATGGTCGTGGTTGAGGTCCGGCAGGGAACACTGGGCGTGGATGGTCGTGGTTGAGGTCCGGCAGAGAACACTGTGGATCGCGGGTCGCAGTTGAGCAAGGACGACGAGGACGACGAGGACGACGAGGAGGACGAGGAGGAGGAGGAGAGGAGGACGAGGCAGGAGGAGGCGGAGGAGGAGGAGGAGAAGGAGGAGAAGGAGGAGGAGGAGGCAACTGACATAAAATCTAACAACCCTCACCTGGCAGGTGGGGAACAAACTGAAAAATGTGAAAGCGACATGTCTCGTCCTTTTCCACATCTTTCTTGCTGACAAATTAGATTTGGGATGGATGTATATTACCCATTGTACCTCTGCCTAGCCACGCTGCATAAAGTTGGCAATATACTGGGGAGAACCAGAATAGAAACGGGCAGCAAGCGATCTTCAACCAGAAATCATCCCACATGCCTTGAACTGGTGAAGCGGCCGGCGCAGGAGCCCTTAGAACAGGTCGCCTTCAAACAGGTCCCCGAGACGGGGCGACACTTGGGTGCGATTTTGAGCCCTGAATTGGCAAAAAAATGACCAGATGGTTTTCTCTATAATTAGTTTTCTGGAATCCGTTTCATCTGGAATGAAATAAGGATTGAACATGGATTGAACCAACGAAAGGTCGGGAATTGGGTAATAACAATGGTGATTTGAGAACTTTCCTAGCATTTGCTGAAAGTGCTTTTTTGCAGGAAACCTCCATCCTTGCTGGCAAAAATAAGTAACAAACACATAGGTCAACCGTCAACCTAATGAAACTTGGAGTGTTGATCATCACAAAATGCTACGCAAAAACTTGGTAAAACCAAAGGATGGCCATTGTCATTGTCCCTTTGAGAGTATATACTCAGGCAAGCCTCCTTAATAGGGGTATGCGTGCCAGTGCCACAGATCTTTGCAATGTGGTTTCGACCTTTGATATGGTTTGCTTTGCCATCTATGGCACCGCAAACACAAACTATACACAGTATACTGTATAGCAATATATATATATATATATAATCTCTGTTTGACTCCAACCTCATGTGCAAAATGGGAAGATTACCTGTTGCAAATACAAAACAAAAATCGATTGCAAGACTAAAACTGGTGCAATCGCTCATACATCAACGATGAACTACAATAGCGTCATATCATAGTTAAATCATACATGGGTTTGTCCAAAGATTACAGGTTAAACCAAATATATGGTGAATAATCTTATATAATACAATCCCCTTGGTTTGTTGGGCAGACCATTTCCAAACAACTAATATGACATAATCACCCACTGGGTGGTTCATCCATTTGTCGTGGTAGGGACCCAAACGTTGCCCTACCAGGGACTCATCCAAAAGCCAGTGTCTGGTTCATGATGATGATGATGATGATGATGATGAGGACGATGACGATGACGATTCCAGAAATGGTTTTAGAGGACATGTACAGGAACCTCCCATATTTGGGTATATTTGGTTGGTAAAACAATGTTTTCCTGTATATACGTGTATGTACGTATATATGTTCCCGTAAATAAATCCATTCAGGAAAAAAAACAAAATCAAACTACCAAAGAATGATACATTATTACCTCCTGGAGAAAAAGAACGTACATATAAATATATATGTGTATATGTAATCATGTGTATATATATGTATATATATATATGTATATATATATATATACATATTTGGACAACTAAAAGTAAATTCTTTTTTGGCCAATCCCAAGTCTCTCGTCGCCTGAAGGCCGACAAAACGGACAAAGGCCGTATGGAGGAGTGATTCACCTGGTCAATGGTCAGTGCATAAGGAGAAACCAAACCATCGGTTGTCTACAAATTTTGATTGATTTTGGATCAAAACATTAGTAATTTTGGAGGATCAAGAACCCCCACATCTGTGGGTCCTTTTTTTGGGGTACCAATGTGTCATTTTTTTGTTAGATCATCCATTTTGGGGCCAATCTTTGAATATTTTGCGAAAATTAAAAAAATGCCGCTAAGAATCAAATTCCTACAGAAGCAGTGACCAAGAGTTAAGTAATTACAGTCATAGGAAGTTCTTGGAAATTGTGGAAGTCAACTGTTTTTTACGCCCCATTCATGGCAAACCTGTACTAAAAGAAGAAGGCGTTGTACAAAGTTTGAATAATATAAAACAAACTGCGATGATAAAAATGGCCCATTGGCATCAAGCAATCCGGAAAGCCCAGGCGTGACATACCATATATGTAAATAAAACAAATATTTACATACACACATACATATATACACATATAAATATATAGGTAAATAAATAAATAAATAAATATACATATATATGTACAAATATGCATACAAATATGTATATATATATATACATATGTATATATATATACATATATATATACATATGTATATATACATATATATATACATATAGATATATATATATATACATATTGATATATATATATATACATGCATATAGATACATATATATATACATAGATATACATATAGATATATATATATACACATATAGATATAATATATATATACATATAGATATATATATATATACATATATATATATACACACATAGATATATATATATATACATATAGATATATATATATATATATAGGTTCTTCTTCGTCGTCCCAATTCATTGAATGGTCTTCATCTTCCCCATTGAATGTAAGTTGAATAAAAAGTTGACTGGAACCAACCACGTTGCACGAATACATAAAATATATATAATATATAGATTTATGTTTGTAAGACATACAATTATAAACTTATATAATTACATGTTTATAATATGTGTCTATTACTTGTATGTACATTAGTATATGCATCCTGAAGTAGATAGAATGTACAGTAAATGAAAATAACCTTGGACCAAATGAGACAGCCGGTTTTCGCATCCCGCACCGCATCTGTCATCAAGGACGTAGTGATCCGAAAAGCGCCATGACCTACTTGGAGGACCTGGATGTTTGGAGCAATGTTCCAGGGAAGCCCAATGTCTGTCCTGGAAAAACCTTGATACCTCAAGGTCAGTCTTCTTGAAAAGCTGACGGCTGCTTGGTTGCTTGCCCCAGTTTTTTTTACCAGAGATATGAATATGTGAATCTCTACACTCACATGAAGTGTCAGTGTGTGGTACAGTTCAGTACAGGATGATGGGTCTGGTTGCAGCTTAGGCTTCAGGACGTCCCAACTTCTGGCAGAATCCTCTAGCTTCTCGGTGTATCCTGGGTGTAACTAGGACGGTTTGATCACATATGTTGAGATTTTAGATGTCCTATTTTGTTGTGCAAAAAAGGTGAGATAAACAAGGGTTTTTCACCAACAAGAATAGAACAGATTTGAAGAAAAGATCAAAAACTAGTGTCTTGCATAGGAAGGATCAACTGTGTTTGTTGTCCTATCGAGCCCATGTATGGTGGACAGCGTCGCAAGGCCGCAAGGCATGCAGGATTTGACCGGGGATTGTCCTGAAAAAGTGATGGGGAGTGTGGGAAAGCCCCAATTTCAAGCGGTGCATCCCTGCATAAATGGTATTTTCTAGACCCATTCGTCCTGCATAAATGGGATCCACGGTCAGAAAGACCGGGCCATTTGATGTATGCTGAAGCAACTAAAAGCTCGTAGGCGGCAGGTGCCAATCTTGTCATATTCTCATTTGATATGATTATCTTATATTATATAGATTTATATAGTTTTTTGATGTTTTTGCAGACTGGAACTCACAGTCACAGTCATTCAAAAAGAATAGAAGATTATAAGAGTTTGGAAGCTCGTCCGGCTATCCCAAGCTGTAGAAATCCCAGCTGGGCTCCTCAAACCTGCGATTATAGTTCCAACCTTCAACCCTATGATTTCTCTTTATTTTTAGAGCTAACATGATCATACACACGCAAATCCAAGCGCAACGCGTTTTTCTTGGATGTAGATCTCTCGACCGTTGCTAGCTGGCGGAGATCGAAGTTCAATATGCTAGGAGTTCATGGATTTGTGATCGATTTCTAATTTCTAGGGAAAGCAGATCGATTTTGGGATGCCTCCTGGCATCCTCAGTTTTTCCACATCCGGACTCAACTTGAATGACTCGCAACGATTCGAGCCCTCCGCCAATCTAAGTGAAACGCCCTAGCTGCTCATCGCTTGGCCGAGATTCGGGATTCCCAATTCGCGTCCAGTGTCCCATGATGTCCGCCCCATGATGTCCCATGGTTCAGAAAATGATGTTCTGATGTCCAATCACTGGATTGGTTTTGTTGGGGAAAATCTACACCGGAAACCCATGGGTTTAGAAAACCATCAAATAAATATAGGGCTTTCCGGTTTCAATTTTCCCATCAATCCAATTCTGAGTCAAAAATCCAGTTGAGGGCTATCCCCAGTGCCATATGATCATTTGATCCTGGAACCGGCCCCGAAATGGACCGATGTGTCGGCTCTTCTCATAGATGGATCACCGGGTATTGGCCCGGGGGACACGGAGGCAGCAGGCGCCTTGGTTTTCACAGAAACCAAGATTTCTGCAGCGGGGTATTCCTCCCCCAAAAGATGATTCTAGATGATTCTAGATGAATAGCTATTGATCAAGCCTCATTTCAAACCAACCCTGCAAGGTTTCGGTCCATGTTTCAACCCAAACCTACCCCGGTCCAAGGGGTGGAGAAGGAAACGAATGATGAATGTCTAATGCTTCACTCAAGAGTTGAGGTCTGCTCCCCTGCTGTATGACAAGCTCAGGCTTGAGGTACACTCAATTGGGCGTTTCTGTACACAAAATTGGGCTTGATTCAGACCATAAACCCTCAAAGTTTTAGATATACGGCCATCCAATCTCTTGAACCAAACGTTAGATAGTCCAACACATTGGAGACTCGCAAACAAACCCATGATGTTCCAAGAAAAAGCTACATATACCCTCTGGGAGTCATTTCCATAGCTATGGAAAATGGATGAAAATGGCCTGCGGTGTTCTTTTGATTGATCATGATTTGCCTATGAAAAGTGGTGCTTTTCCATAGCTGCCATTATGTATCATAGCTATGTAATAGCTATGTCAGATTCCCAGTGACTCCTGAACTGGTGAACCCTCTGGCACCACCCCTTGGGCTGCGACAGCAGCACCAAGCGAATAAGAAGGACAAAAGGACTATCAGCACCTGAGCATCGCGGCCAAAATGGGAACTTGTTTTTTGCCGGAAATTTATATATATATATATATGTATGTATATATATATGAGCCCAAGAAACGGATGGATGATCTATACTTTGATCCTAAAATGGAGCAATGACTGCATATTGGTGCCGGGTGATCCATGATATCCATGACTTGTCAAGCTGCATCCCAGTTCCACTCAACTCCAGGCACCAGGCTTCCCTGCCCAGTTCAGTAAGCCCCAACCGATGGGGAAGCGATAATCGAAGGTGATGATCTTGTTGGCTGGGCTGCACCTCAGTGCCGAACTCAGATCTGTAAGGGAAAAGTTCAAGGAAATTGGATGGGATATGATGGGATGTTGGGATCAGCTGACAGCAAAACTGCTGGTGATGAAACGCGTGTCTTGACCGAAGCAGTGAACAAAATAAAACTAACCGTTTAAGATCTTCTGATCCAGCTTCGGGGATGCTGAAAAGCACATCCAAAAATCTGTGAGTAATCTGCCAGGTACCAAAATCATCCGAAACCTGTAATACGAATGCGTGGTGGAAATCAACATGTCGTTTATTAATGCAGGCCAATGTCATTCCATTCCGATACTCACCCCAAGCAGGGATGTTCTCTGAAAATCCAACCACCAACAACCAGCGAAAGATCGGCATCCACTATCATCAAGTATATGGTATGCTGAGCGCTCGCCTTTGACCCCTCTCTAGGCTCCTATAGACCTGAAAAATCTGATGAAAGACTATCAAACTTCACAAAAACACTTCGAAAAACTTCGAAAAGTGATACCCTATTTTCTGCGCTGTTCAGGTGATCTCCTTCTCATATCAGTGGCCATTTCAGGAACCTAAATTGGAGGTACCATTTTAGGATCCTGGAATTCCCACTGATCATAGGCCTTTTTAGAATCGGATCCGGTGGAGCCGTGGGCGATTTGCTCGCGCCAAGGGACGGCGTTTCACCAGCGCCCCCGCAACCTTCATCGCTGCCTGGTGGCCGTTGAATCGCTATTTGTTGGGCGTAGGTTGACTCATGCTTTTTTACTAACCCCAGGTCGTTGCGCGTTGCCTCACAACATCACAACATCTCACAGCCCCGAAAATCGGTTGAGGATTTGGTCAACTTGGTGAACACATCAAAGCCCCATATTTCTGACGCTGTTGGAAAAGCCACATTGATTGAAACCATCAAGTTAAGATTACGGTGAAGTTCGTTGGCTAAGTCGGGCCTACGATCTCCGGAAAAACGTGTAATTTTCGGTCAAAAATAACGGTTTGGGAGCTGATTGTCCTGCTCCAATGACCACTGTGGGGTTCTACAGATTTACCCTCTGGTAATTTAACATAGCTATTGAAAATGGTGATTTATAGTGGATTTACCCATTGAAAATGGTTATGTAAACGTTTGCGAGATGGTAAAATCCCATTAGATCCCATTAAACCACCATAAAATCCCATTAAACCACCATTAAACCATCATATCATCTTCAATATCCCGGAATTCATGTTCTCTTGCTGAAGATCAGGGATCCTGGTCGGCTGACATCCCATGACCCATCTCACCTGTCGCTGCAGGAGCCTCCTGATGATTGGCAGCGCAGCACAACCGCCGTCCGGTGAAATTGAATTGAAACGACATGTTTTTTCGATGGTAATTTGGATGTAAATGGATCATTGTCTTCGTTTTGGTCAAAGTGAAAATGATTGGGTTCCACTTCTATCTGGATGACCGATCAATCAGATTCCAAGCCTGATTGAAAGATATTGAAAGCCACTATATTGATGGTTTCCCTAAGACAAGCCATTATTCTTATGGGGCTTGGTCGTTGAGGTCATTAATTATCGGGCTTACTAAACCCCAAACTTCCATGTTCAAATTGGATCCATACTCGATGACCACTCAACATTAAACCCAAAGTAGGTACCCTCTGGTAATTTAACATAGCCATGGAAAATGGCCCATTTATAGTTGATTTATGTACCTATTAAAAATGGTAATTTTCCATGGCTATGTTAAAGAACCAGAGGGTACAACTTATGCTTGTGCGAAAATCGTGTACCCCCAAAATCTCACGGTTCACAACATCAGGCTCCGAATGAAAATATTGCCATTTCTTAAGGAACAAATCCGTCATGATCTTGGGCAAATCCCCATACATCGCATAAAAGGTTGTATATCTATCTATCTATCTATCTATCTACCTACCTACCTACCTACCTACCTATCTATCTATCTATCTATATATATATGTTATACTATTATATTATGATTATATATATATATATATGTGTGTGTGCACATATAATTTTAGTGTTATATAGTCTATAGTTATATCATGTTACATCATAATGTCATCCTATAAAATCTCCCGAGTATGGTCGCTTGTGTATCCCCCGGGTAAGCCCCGCCACCGTTGCCGCGCTCCTTCTGTGGCCCGGGTGCCGCAGCCGCCGGCGCGGCCGGGGCCGGTGCCGGTGCGGCCGGCGCCGGGGCCGCCGCAGCCCCGCCGGCCGGGGCTTGTTGGAAGGCGGAGACCGCGCCCTGGCGGGTGGAGGCAGTGGAGGACATGGGTTGGGCAAATCCATAGGTCAGGGATTTACACGGAACTGATATAACTGGGATTTCTAGGGATGGAACTTGGATGTAATTTGATATTATGTTGTGACAGAGAGATGGAAAAATCACCATGAGAGTAGCAGTTTCTTGCTGGTAAACCAGTGCTTTTGAATCTTAGTGAGATCAACTTCCCGATCTAACTTCCCAGGTAAAATGGAAAATGAGAGTACCAGCATGACATGATTTTATGGTCTCGACGACCACCTGGACAAAAGTGGCATATCAATGGGGGCTGATGACTTGGATAACCCAATCCAAGGGTTGGTTACTGAGCAACACTGTTTTGTTTGGAAGAATGTGGTAGAGTAAATGACTATAAATTCTGAGATATTCTGAGTCAAAAACCCTGGAACCCTTCCGTTCACACCGAAATTTAGTTTGGAATTCTTCGTCCCCAAAAAAAATTGCTGCGTATCATCATCTCGGTTTTGATCTATCCCCATCTGATTATCTCGACAGTGCCATGGGTCGCACAACCCCCAGGTCATGGGCCCAGCGCCTCATCTCTAGGGTCGACATCTAGTCGAGCATGGCCCCGCAAGGACATCTGTAGACCTCATTCTTTCAGGAAGCACTGCCCAAGTGAGATCCCCAACCAAAAATCACCGGAATCCACTGGAGGCTGTTGCAACACGATTTGGATGTTCCAAGTACCAAAGTATTTTGTGCCCATTTAAAAAAATGGATGTAATGGATGATTGTTCCATTTAAAAAAATGATAACGCTCCTTGATTTTCCACACTTATGTCAAATTGCCAGAGGAGGGAGCCTCACAAACGAATCCTACCCTCTCGAAACCTCGCCGACCTCTGCAAGCATGTTGATCTTTCAAATGAGAAAACACACCTTCGGCAAACGATACCCAAACACTTCCCCAACTTTATTTTGAATACGGTAAACAGGCATTAGATAACCCCTGTTCAGCTGTGAAAAGTCCATTGTAATAGTACTACAGTACAGGTCAAATAATACCTAGGTGTATTATATCATAAAATATCAAGAAATTGCACATCATAATAGGATAATAATGGAATAGCAACATCATATAAACATCTATCATATTATAACAAAAATAAAAATAAAAGGAATAAATTATTTTCCTGATAAGTGATCTTAATATTATTGTTCATCTTATTATTATAACATAATTATGACCATGATTATGAACAATATGAAGATCATGGTTTCACTCCTGATTCTCCTAGGCCTCCCATTGGTGGGACTTTTTTCATGCTGAGATTGTCCCACTTTGCAGCTCCTTGGAGAGTACGGCGGCATCCTGGCACGGTTTCCAAGCCGAGTGGCTAAAGCAACATCTGGGGCTTCCAACACACGAGACTTTATAGATGTCAATGGTATTCTGGTTGGTGGTTGACCCATGTTGACCCACCCCTCTGAAAAATGATGGAGTGAAAGTCAGTTGGGATGATGACATTCCCAACTGAATGGAAAGTCATAACAGCCATGTTCCAAAGCACCAACCAGTTATGATTTTAGATTTGTGATTTACACATTCCCCATCTACGTACAGTTTTCTTGGATTTCCATCGCTTTCGAAAGATGGCCAAGTCTCAACCAGCTTGGGGAGCTCCATCGGTCTGTTTGCTGATACGAAACAACTCTCGAGATCTGAAAGCGGCCAAGAAATCCAGCCTCAAATCCTTCCGAAAGTCGTTTTGATTAAAAAAAAAACATCAACCATCATCAACCAACATTAACCAACATCAACCAACATTAACCAACATTAACCAACCACCCACCTGCCGCGGTCCGTGACCTGCGCCAGGTAGGCGGCCACTCGGGAGGTCCGTTGAACTTCCGCTTCCAAGTCAGTGATCGGCTGCTGGGTGGCGCCGGACACCTAGAGGTCGCAATGGTGGTATCAGCGAGATGTGTTGATTCTGTCAGAGTCATATTACATCTAATATATAGACTATTACTGTATTGTAATGATTATAATTACTGTATCATATCACTATATACATATATATATATACATATATGTGTATATATATACATATATATATATATATGTATATACATATATATATATAGTGATGTGTGTAAAAAAAATGGAATTATATATATATTATCACTATATATATATGCACACACACACATGGCCATGCGGTTGCAAGTACACTAGTAAACTTATTTTCTGTATCTGCACATTTCATTGTTAAATCCTCGTGTTTTCCCACAAATCATTGTATTGGGTTGCAATCCCAAATGTATGTGCATAGGAAAAAATGTATAAAAATGTCATATCTTGGTAATCTCAAAGATCAAACAGATAGAACAATCAATATACACTCTTATGTTTGTTTATGACTGTAAGAAAAAAAATCTTGGGGGTGCAGTTCCACTTATAATTACATGTATACTTATAATAGTTAGAAGGGTTATATTCCCAAGTTGTGATACTTGTGGAGGTTAGAATCATAACCATACCCAATACCCATTTTTCACTGAGCGTTTCGCCGAGATTTCCTCTGAAGGCATGGATTGTCCGCGCTCCTTGGTAGGAGAGGCACCCGGAACCAACAGAAGAATGATGGATTTAATCATAAGAACAAGCCATTTAATCATCTTTAACCATCAAAATAGGATTGAAACAAGAAGTATAAAAAAAACACTTCAACTGGCAAATTGGGTTTGTAAGATCTCCCGAAACATCGAGTTTCAAGCTGGGAAGCCATCCAGCTTGAAGGTGAATTTTTTAGGCCTCACCCCAAGACCTGGAACCCAAGTGGGGAACGTCCCTGTCGCTAGCATTTTGCTGCATCCTCCTACGGGTGTCGCTCCAAATCCAAGGTGGTTGACAGCCCGCAGTGATTGTTGGAGGGGGGAAGCTGCCTAGCTCCCCACTCGGATGCCTAAGATACCAACATGGTCAGTGAGTTTTTGCCGAAATTCTCCACGCCCAAACATGCACAAAAAAAGGACTCAAAGAGTCGGACTTTGGGTGGAAAATAAAAACACCATCTTTTCGGAGTCTTCCCCGACCCACCAAAACCGAAGCATTGCAATTTGCCAAGTGTCAGCAACCACTCCAAAGCCCCCTGCAGGCGCCGCAGCAGCTGCCTCGGGAATAGAAAGATGCAGAAAGGGGTCAAAAGCCTGGCACCTGAACAGCAAAAATACTCCATTGGTTTTGACGCATCCCTACATTGACCAACCAACATGGGGATGTTTAGTGTATTGAACACCTATACTGAACATATATAGAAATCAAGAGGAAAAAAGTATAAAAAAGTGCAAAGGCCATCGTTCAGAACGGTGGCGTTGCCACTTCCAGGTTGCTTAGAGTATGTTAGAGTCATATGGCAGTGTGTCAAAACCTTGTACCCCTGATGAACATCAAAATAGCTGGTAAATGAATGTTCATTCCCCTAAAAATGGTATTAATAGGTATTAATCGGTATTGATCCATACCCATATGGAAGAATTGATAAGCTGTGGCCATGCTTCTCACTGGGGCTAGACTCTCATTGGAGTACAAAGCCCCGAAAAAAATAGGACTAGAATGGGTTGAACAAGTACTGGATTGGTTCTCCCTATGAAACCCCAAATTATACTGGGCAGGGATGGAGCGTAGCAATTCTTGGGCTCCGGGATGAAAAAGAAATAGAAAATCTACCAGGTCAGCCTGCCTATGGGGTTTCACATTGATTCAGTTTTCAACCATCCCATTTTCGTGCACCAACTTGTAAACAAACTTGGCTGCAAGCCAAGTTCCACGGAAATGGATGATTTTGTTGACCTACGTCACGAACTGACATCTCTCAAAAGTCCGTTTACTGATTTATTTATTCCATCCCTACGTAGATGGAATGAACAGCTGCCCCCATTTTGATCAGCGATGAACAAAGATTCATCGCAGGACCCAAAGATAAACTGGGTCCAGGCACCAAAATGTTGCTTGAAGGAGCCAAGTCCTGGCGATGTTTGACGGGAGCTGCACTCGGATGATCTGAATTTGGGAGTGATTCGCAATCCTGATTGGGCTATGAATAAGATATCACCCACCAAAGATCTCCAAATATATCCAGACATATACAAAGATTTCCCAAGATATGAAAATACATAGAAAATCGATCTAAATACATCTAAAGATATCCAAATATCCCTTTCACCGATGGTAATCCACTTGTTCCGCTGGATCTTCGTTAAGCAAGTCCTGATATCGCGTTAAGATGGGTTCTTCGCCTGCGGCACGGGATGAACTTGGCATCAGAATGCACTAAGTGTGACCAGTGTGACCAGTTCAGGTCTGAAGGCACCTTGAAAAAATGTGATCAATCAATATACCCTCTGGTAATGACTAACATAGCTATTGAAAACGGTGATTTATAGATATTTATAGTGGATTTACCCATTGATAGCATGGTGGATCTTTCCATAGTTCTGTAAACGTTTACCATTTCGGGTAAATCATGTGAGCAAGGATCAATTTGCGCAAAGTACGTATGATGGATACAAAAAGTACATCTCAGTAGCATCCAGTGTGTCCTGCAAAAATCCCACTTTGACTCTGGTAGATGTCAGCGAGGGGCACATGGGTTTCGGGGGGCCACCGGATAAACGTCAATTCCCCAAGTTCAGGAAGTTCACCTTTAATTTGTTTATAAATATATATATATATATATAAGTATATATATATATATATTATATATATAGCCTCCAGTAAATTAACACAGACCCTGGCAGAAAACGGAGTTGGAAGATGACTTTCTACTGAAAATGGGTTGTGTTCAGGGTCTATGTCAATTGAACAGATGGTAAATATGGGTGAATAAACATGTGTCCCACGTTTTTCCCTTGGAAGAGAAAGCTCAGAATCGCCCCTACTGAGTTGTCCACAAACCCACGATGAGGCGCACAGCGGCACCTGCTACCATGAACAGCCCTGAGAGGAAGGCAGCACACCAAAGCTGCTGCATTCTCCTGTCATGCAGAGCTGCCTGGTGGTTTCAATTCATCATTGTCGCACTCAAAGATTTACCATCATGTCAAGTTTTAGCTGGGTATCATGAACTTCCATCTTTCCCTATTGATTGGAAAAAGATGTGTGAAAAGAAAAACCCACCCAAGCAAAAGTTCATCCACACATTCACACGTTGGGGAAGATGTGTGATCGATGGGGGTAGTCACAATCACACTGCGTTCATAAAGTGGGTACAACTCCATGATACTGCAGCCCAACAACTTGATGATGCAACATGATTTTCTACATGATTTTCTACATGATGCAACTAAAATTAGGGTCCATGAGTACATGGGTACTACTATGTAGCTTGTGAACCACCAAGTCATCCACGTTTTGCCCTACTGGCGCTCCTTTGTAGCGGCACACTTTCGTCAGCGAATTAAGGGCAATTCACCTCAAAAACACGGGACCAAAACAGACGAAAACTGGCTGCGCTCATCTGACGGAATATTTTGATGGGTCATCTGATGGGCTGTGGAAATCTGAGAGAAACTTAGAAGAATCCTTCAAATTAATGCCGTTTGACAGAATAATTTGGAATAATCCTACATTCCTCACCTATTCGACAATCAACAAGACATATAACCAAACCTAAGGGGTTCGCAGGTCAGCATTGCTGGGCAACCTGTCAAGAGCTCGGGTCTCCTTTGTCTCAATTGGGTCCCTGGTGAAAACGCCCTTGCAGCCACAAGCACAAAGGAATGTACGCTGAAAAAGGATCAGTATCGAATCATAGAGCTGTTGGCTTGAGCCCAAACGGTGGCGAAGTCACCATCTGGAACATGCTGGAACGACACATGGTCTCGTACTGGGCATGGTTGGGAAATCCCACAGCCACCTTCAGTAGAAACGATGGTGGCAGCTTAAATACTGCGTGATTTTTCAAAAGGAAGTGCACATCTCTCCACGTTTCCATCGAATTGGTCACGTATTTCATCGTATTTCTCCAGGAACGGAAACGGAATGGCGGTTTACTGCAGTGTCATGCTTCCATTCCCATCATTCACAGCTGTCATTTTCCAGGCCATTGGATCTCTGCGGGACAGGCCATGCCATGACTATTTACATCGCACCACTGGCAGATTCAACCGTCAAAGTTCTGGGGTCTGCAATCTTTGAGCCCATTAGATTGTTCAAGAAAAAAAGGTCATATGATGTCACTGCTATTAGCAGTGTTGTTCTTCAGAAATATCTGTTCTTTTCTGCGTCCAGAGCCCAGTTTGAGACCATTAAATGAAACAACTAAATGGTTTTCTATCCAGAAAATCACCGTTTTTGATGACCATGAGATCATTTGAGGATGATTGCCACGATCCTGACCCTCTTTTTGAGTGATGTTGCGACATGAGGTCATTATATTAGAAATTAGTGTAATTTATCCAAATATGATATTATATAGTGATACTAGTGATACAATACATGTATACTATACATTTATATACATACCATTACATACCCATCATAGCACCTTTTCGTTGAATCCAGGACCAACCCGCACTGGCTGTCACAGGATCACTGCGGAGGTCAGGCACAAGGTGCCAAAGGCTGCGGCCCAGAGAGGCAGCGATTTTTCCGATCTTCTGCCGTCCTGCGGAGGATCCAAACTGGGCGGCTTTTCCATGGAAAATCCACTGGAAAGTCCACTGGAAAGGTCCGAAAACCCATGGCTTTTCCGAAAAGATTTAGGGGATCCTGGAAAATCGTGGAAGAAATTCTGGGACACCTGAAATTGAGGCTACAGATGGCTACAACCCACCTTCTATGATCTTTCAAGGGGCTTAGTGACTAGTGGAAGAAGCAAATGACTGAAAGCACCAGAATACTGAAACGGTTCATGTTGGGTAGAGTCCTCTTCTACACGTTCTATCTATAGAGGTAATAGTGGATCAGTGGATCCCCCCCAATAACCCCCTGCCCCTGTGAGGGAAGCCTCCTTTCGGCGAAAGGCATCTACTGACAACTGTGTCTGAACCTCGGTGTCCAGGCAGGAAGCTTTTCAGAGTCGGAGGCCAAAGGGGTTCTTTATGCCTCGGCACCCTCTCCAGAAACTACGGAAAACCAAGGCGGTAAACAATGTCTCTGTAGCCTAAGCTGTCTGGTGCATAGAATTCAACTGAAACCTGTTGAAGTGATAAGCTGTATCTGCTCAATTGCCATACAATTTAAAGCCAATCTCTTGTCACATAGGGGTAACTCCCCCTCTAAACCTAACCTGTCTAGTGTTAATATATCTAAAATTATCTAAATATAATATCTATATATATATATATTGATATGGTTTTCCAGTTGTTCATGGTTTTCCAATCTAATCCTCATGGATTTTTCCGCCCTTAAAATCAATTCCACTGGAGCGGGTGTCCCAACTCTGAGCTGCTGCAAGAGCTCTTGACCCCGCTCCAGTGTGGCCTGCGGTGCATCAAGGTGCACCCTGCGGTGCACCAAGATATGTGGACCTGGAATGAGGCATCACTCTTCCATCTATACACGAATTCACCACATGGATCAGTTGCTGCCAGGATTGGAGGAATGGATGGTTGACAGCTGAGTTGATGATGATCAGAATGATCCAAAATGACCAGCTCCCGAAAAAAAAAAGGACCCTCAACCACCGGCCCGGCCGGTTTCGCTCAACCACCCCATTCCGGTGCTTCAACGGAACCTCCCAAGGCGATTTGGTGATCCACCTGGCTCACTTGAAGCTGCTCAGATGGGAGCTGTTCAGATGTCACCGAATCAGAATCCAGGAATTTGACCCAAATGTTGAATCAATGTTTACTGTTTGTATATGTTTATATAAGGAACATGATGATCAGCCATTGTTAGGGTGAGTATAATAATGATGCAATGATTGGGATGAAACTCCAAGACGTTGAATTAGTTGTGGCGAATCAATTCATAATGGTGGTTCCAATTCCGATTAGTCATAGCCAAGCTCAGATACGGTACAAACCACAAAAAAAGTTTCTGGCGGACATGAAATAGTAACGGTGTCCTCCATTTATAGCTACAAAATGATAAAAATAAAAATGAATCGATGGTCACCTACCCAACAAAGGCTGTCCCAGTTGTGATGAAGTCGTTGCATGCTGAATATGATCCAAACGGAAGATCAAACAAATGTGATATGATTTCAATTTTGCATCTGATTAACAATTTCACTGTTGAATTTTCGGAATGGAAAATGCCAATCAACATTTCGGAATGTTCGCAGCCAGGCTCGTTAATCAAACAGAATTTAGATCTCAAAAGTAGATTTTCGACTTGGACGAAGTGAAGCAGTCACAGCAATCCTGTTCGTATCTGTTCATACAGTGAAAAACAAGTTGTTCAGTTGTCCATTTATTCAGCGCGCGTTCAATCGTCATGGAAAACGTGTTTCTGAAACAGACGTGACGTTTGAATCCATTGATACCATGCCTATTGATTTCTTGTATGCTGTCCTCAACAAAGTGAAGAATCCATCACCACTGAAACCACGCTGGCATGATTTGGGGACTCTCGCAGTTCATAAGATTCGAACACTTCACCATCCCAGCGCCGAAATCATGTGAGAATGTTATTATACAGGATTCAAACCATGTTTGGTGCAGAACTCTTCAATATCTTCGATGACCGGGAAAAGAGCCGAAACAAATCGAAACGAAACAAATGGTCGTGAATGCTTCCCAAGTGGTCCAGCATATTTTGGACACATCGAAAAATCTCGGTGCTTTTTCAACCCATCACAGGAACATCCCTGATAAAACACGAGGAAAACACATCATGAAAACTCTATTCGCAAAATCTCATCGTTTGTCCACGGGTGTTGATCCACTGATCCACCATGAAAATAGGGTACACACCCAAAAAAACAGTGATAAAATGTGACAAATAATGATTAGTGGTTAATAATGATTTGTAATGATTTGGTTAATAATTGATCCATCTCATATTATCTCATATTATTATAATCATTATGATTAGCCAATGTTGATCCATCTCCATCTCTGCAGACGCAGAGAACCGTCTGAAAGCAGGTCAGCAAGCACTCCGAGCTGAGGCTTGGAGCCATGGATACATTGCCTCAGGTCCATACCGTAGTCATGGGGGTACCCCAATAGCTGGATGGTTTATGATAAACAAAAAAAAAATGGATGATTTGGGAAGTTTTCAAATTTATGGAAAGCCTCATTTCTAAGTACTTCTTTTTGTGGAACTACATCCGCAAGTCTGGTTTAATTGGCAACTTACGATGGTAAATTACAAAGATGACATCAATGGGATCCCATCAGCCCTTTCGTGCTGATCAATGTTGGGACAATTACCGAGGGAAATACATCAGCAATGGATCACCTCGAAGCAAAGCTGCCTTTCACAGGGATTCACTTGTCACAATTGAGAGGAAATGTTCATGGGAAATGTTAGGTGCGGTGTGGCTTCGAAGAAAAATTACTCTGTTGTGGAGTTTGTACACTGGATCCCTCATGGTGAATAACTCACCAGAATAATGGGCTTAACAGTCGGCATGGGATCCATATGAGCGACAACTTTTATTTGGTACATGTGGAAAGGAAAGGACATTAAAGGAGATCCCGATAAACATCGTTTACCCTCTGGTAATCTAGCATATGGGTGGGCCATTTTCATTCATTTTCCATAGCTATGTTAAATTTCTGGAGGGTACACAGTTCCAAGACGTTGCTTCTGCTGCCTCCCAGTGCTGTCAACAGCGTGACCTCTTTCACCGGCCGATCCTGAGGCAAACCTGCTGCCGAATACTTTCAATTGTCCTAAGTACATGCTTTTCCTCATATGGAGGTTTCCTAAATTTGGGGGTACCCCAAAATCATCCATTTTTACTGAATTTTACTGTAATTGGATCTTCATTGATTTTCCATTATAAACCATCCGTTGGGGGTGCCCCCATTTATGGACCCCCATATGTCTGTGGTGCAAACATGCTTCCGCCTGAGTCTCACACGTCTCAGCCACCCATCCGCAGCGACCTTGAGTCCACATCCAAAAAACTCAATAGGGTTGAGTTGGTCAACATGCCAACGTTATCCAACGTTCACATCCATTCCACATCCATTTCAGCATTTTGACTCATCTCCAAGTGATGCTACCTCCGCTGAGGGAAACCCGGCCAACGGCCTGCTTCGCAGGTGACACTGGCAGCAGATTCTTTTGAAATCGAGGCCTGTCGCGTGGTGTTTGAAAGAGCCATGCTACAGGGTTGCTCCCAACACTGCAGAAACTGGTGAAATTCAGAGCTAAAATTACCGATTTCCCCGCGCTTGTGGCTATCATTCACATATATTGGAGCAACCCTGTGGTGACTTCAAATAGTGGGGAATAGTGATAATGAGATGTAATGGCATAACTGCATAATCATTTCATGGGAAAATAATGGTAATACAAAGGGAGGCAATGGGATGTATTGGGCATATAATGGGATCTATACAATGGGATGTGATGGGATGGAATGGGAAGTGGGATCGTGTATGTAACAGGATGTACAACCAACAAAATGATTTCTGGCCTTGTCCAAAAGCGTGGGGATCCTCAATTAATGGCCACTTGAATGGGAAAATGATGATAGTGAATAATGGGATGGAATGATGGAAGATGGGATGGTTGTGGGGGACCCTATTTTCAGACAAACCCCTTTGAGCCGATAGGAGCAAATCTATGATTTTTGAGGATAGAATGCTGAGAATGAGGAAACAGAAAAAAATGCCCAGATTTTCGATTCGATTCGAGGCATGAAAGGTCTCTCCTTGTAGCCTAATGCAGCGAATTGGGAAAAGTCCCAGTTAACCACCCTGATAGTCTGGTAGCCAACTGGTCGTACGCACCTTCGCGCACTCTGCGCTGGCCTCTCTCAGCCACGCCAAAACTTCTGAATTAAGTTCGCTGCAACCACAGCAGCGGCCAGCGGCCATCCTTCGGCCAATTTCATCCATGATTGTGCCTGCCAAGGCATTGCAAAACAGCTCCGGGTATTCCTTATGAGCACTAGTACGAAAACGTCCATCCTCACCAACACCGATTGCCTGCTCCGCAGGATATCGTGCATGGGGGTCTTGGCGACTATACATAGAGCTTCGGAACTGCGGGAGTCTAATTGCAAGTAGCCCTGTTGGCTTAGCTACGGTGCATCCCCAACGCCATTGCCCAACTGTGTGCAGCATCACTTCCGGGTGAGCACAAAGTAATTGAACCCAAGGCGTTTTCCACACACTCGCAGCTTCTTCCAGGATTGGAATCGCCGGGTGCTCGCTGAGGTATATGGCACCTGTCACCAATGTCCACGCCATTGTAATCAAGCTCTGCATGAAAAACAATGTACCTTGTTGCAATTGCCGCTGCTCTCGTGGTGTGAGCCCTTGCCGGCCAAGCAAGCGGTTTGCATCACGCAGGGGTCTTGGTAACCTGTGTGTAGGTGGTGGTCCATCCTCTGTCAAATTCGGAGTGTGGTGGCGAGCAGCCGACCACGTTTCACACGGGGAGCCCGTGAGGGTGGCTGAAATGTGGCCTCCCTGGTAGAGCTGTAGGAGCTTGCCCCACGTGACTGAGTGGTGGTGCAAATTCCCATACTCAATGGAGTTGGCAGTGTCCAGCGACAGCACCAAGATATGTAAACCAAGGCGCTCAGCCCAGAAATGGAGCCGTTCGTGGACGTCCCCTGTTCGCCTCCTACCGCTGAAAAGATGCGCGATCACAAACAGCTTGGTTGCACTAGGCTGCAGGAGGAAAGGGACTGCTTTTTCATGAGGGAGGTCCAACCACTTCATTTGTCGGATATGTTGAAGAAATGAAACCTGACCTTCAAATAAGTTTGGCACTTGTGCTGCCGTGAGAAATCTTTCACGGGAATTGGCAGAGCCATATTTCACTGGTCGATGAGGAAAGGGTTCAGCCTTCTCTTCTTCAAAGCGCTTTTGCTTCGCCACTAAATGTGCTCTTCTGTAAAGCAACTGCTGTCGAGGCAATTCGGCTGCCATTTCAGTGAATGCGTCTTCAATCAAATGTTCAGCCGCTCCATCCCGAAGGCTGTCCGTAATATCTCCAAGGTCATGCTGCCCCCAATGGAGAATCTCAGCTTCAATCCAGCAGTCAAAACCATCCTCAAATTGGAAAAGGCACGCTAACCATCTATCAGGCAGTTCGGCTGCAAGATCCTCATCAAACCCTTGTTGACAAAAAGTAGCAAACCAGTCCAAAGTGGTCTTAGTCAGATAAGCACGCACCTTTTCCCTAGCTGCTTCTGAATCAAAGGGCACCACATCAATGTCCAGCTCAGCGTCGATATTGGCAATCTCCGCAGCTGTGTCGGCCCTTTGATGGTCCGTGATATCAATAAGTGGTTGACAAGGTCCATGCGCTTGAAGGGTCTCAACTCTGGCGAGTCCTTTGACTCCACTGGGGAATTTGTGGTAGTTTCCCACGGCAGGTTCAATATTGAAGCCACGTCTTTTCAGTGCTTGGAAGCACTTGTTGACTTTCGTCACTCTGGAAACATACGAGAGGTGCTGAAATAAGCGCTGTTTGGTCCAAAAGTATTTCAGACATTCAGGACACGTTTCACCAGCTATCATAAGCCTCTCTTGCGTGTATTCACCATGTTGTTTCCGGCGGTGGCATGCTAAACCTTGTGCTGTGGTGAAAGCTCTACCACATGGGCAGACATGAGCATGTTCACTTGCTGTCATCACCCCAAATGGATCAGGCTCAAAGGTAGCACCTGCAAGTTTGAGAGTTTTGAAAAAGGTTTTGTGCATTTGATGAATTTCTTCCATCATGGACTCTTGACGATGAAATCTTTTCCATGCTCGCTTCACACATGCCTTCCATGCACTTGATCCTGACTGCCAGAAATCAAAGAGCTCAGTAAGGTCAAAGTTGGAGGGATCCTCAACTTGAAGCAACTTTTGCAATGCAGGGACGCCAACCACCTCAAGGCCACACAACCACTGCAAATCATGCTTCAGCCCCTGGAGCCAGGAATCTCGAGTGAATGCTTCCTCCCTATGCAACGCATGCAATAACATCTCTGGTCCGCACTCCCAAAGCCTCTGCGCATATAAAAGACGGTCCATTGCAAGTCTCGCCCTTGGAGAGCAGATACAGGCTCTTTGGAAGATGGCATTCGCAGTGGTGGTAGCAATTTCTTCTGCGGACATGCGGAAAAGCTTCCTCAACATGGAAAGTAAAACAGCTTGCAGTTTGGCCATTTGCCGTGCAGGAGGCGTGTTCCACGATCCTAATCCAAAGAAAAGGCGGCTTTCGATGAGAGATCGAAACAACCTAACACGGGTATGCTCAGGAATATGGCGGTTACACAGAATCGGCTTTGCAACCTGCGCAAATGCACTCTTTGCCGTGCCTATACGCATGGCAATTTCTTGGGCAAGTGCATGATCCGAGCAAAACATGGTCCCTAAATGCTTGTAGCAAGACATGAAATGGACAAAAACTCGTTCTGTCTGCATCTGGATCCAGAGACCAGGTTGGTCAATGAGCTGGTAGCGCGCTCGCATAGCCGGTGCCCCAACCCCTTTGAAAGTCGCAACTACGCTGGTTTTACCCTTCTGCATATTGAATGTGAAACCCCTGCGCTGAAAAATGGCATGAACCTGCAAAAATGTCTGCTCAATGGCTGCAACTAATCCACTGGCTGTCTCAGCTGCAATGGGCAGGGCTATGTCGTCGGCCCAAACAATACTTTCAACGTGAACATCAGCCCTGGCAAGGATATCACGAAATTCCACATTCTCGTGTAGAACTTGATTGATTTCTCCTGTCACATCTGCCATCAAAATGTGAAAAATGCAATCCGCTAGAGGGGAACCTGGCCGTGTCCCTTTCCGGGTGATAATCGGCTTATCACTACCGGAAACTTGCATCCATGTATGTGTGTGGAGGTCCTGAATGAGTTGCTGAAGAAAAGGTGGTGCACCAAGCCGCTGCAGCAAATTCGGCAATTGCAAAAGATCCATCAGATCTTCAACTGGGATGCCTTCGTGAAGAAGCTGTTCCAAGACTGCTTCCACATCCTGTGGGACATGAACTCCCGAGACCAGCTCTCGCACTAGCTTATGGAATGCATCGCTCAAATCCACAAAGAGAATCGCAGAAGAAATGCCCATAGCATCCATGACATGCCCAAAGGTACGTAAAAGCTGTGAACCATACGGCACTTCCATCCGTGGAAAGCCCCCCAGCTGACCTTGAGGCTTCTGCCTAGCAAGTAAAAACATCAGCCTTTTGCGAAGCAGAGAATGGATTCTCTTGGCCACTGTGGGCAACAACATGATTCCTCGATAATCCGAGGCTGCCAAACCTGATCCTCGCTTGTACAAAACTGCCATGACCCCGCCTTTAGCAGAAATCGGTTCATGTTGCCACAAACAAATTTTCAGCATGAGAGGAAAATACAGCTTAGCAAGCGCAACGACCTGTTGGCTAAAAAGCCTGGATGGCAATGGGTCCAGTCCTGTAGCTCTGTCAGCTTGGGTAGCTCGCAGGGCATCTTCAAACTCAATCAGAGAGGGCAGTTCACTGCATTGAAACTCCGGTTGAGCAATCGGCATGGCCATTTGTCTGTGGTGGCATTCCAGAACAAGCTCTTCTGCTGAACATTCCTCTCCACATTCAAGCTGTTGGAAATATGGAACCCATTGATGCTGCAAAATTTCCAATCGGTTGGGATCTTGACCAAGCCGTCTTTGTTTGAACTTAGGAAGGCTCCGTCTGATGACCTTCCAAAAGTCCCGTATTTGATGCGGCTCTAAAACTTCAGAAACTGAGCTGGCCAGAGAGGTGAAGAAAGCTGCATCATCCGCACGAATGCATGCTGAAACTTTGCGCCCAAGTCTTCGAAAACGATGCAATGCCACTGCAACTGCTCGATCTTGATGACTCAACAGACAATCAAACTCATAGACCTGATGAGCTAGCATGGGTCCAATGGGCACCTGTTTCCAAGCTGAGAGTACACTTGCAAGGAGAGTCTTGTACTGCAATTTCTGATGACAAGCCAATGTATTTCTCCATTGACGTTTTTGTTCAATCAGGGCCCAAGTGGCTTCCGAAATGGTTTGCTTCCTAGGCTTCCTAACTGATGGTTTCTTCCTGTGCCGACATCGGAGCAGGTTCTGCTGAATCTCATGTGCATGTGAGTGAACATCCACATGGAATGATGCAGGTGTGCATGATGCAAGGTCACAGACTTGTGATGCAACAAACTCATCCGCAGCAGGTTTGGCAATCCTGCTATAGTGTTTCGCAGGTGCAAGAGTCTGGCTCCAATGCAACTTGGCAAACAATGGGCAGTGATCTTCTTTCATCATGGAAAAATCAACCTCCTCAGGAATCCAGGTGGCGCAACATGAGAGCTGCAACTCCGCAGAAATTCCTATATAATCGTTCCTTTTCCACTGCCCATCACGATGTCTCCATGTGCCTCCAGGTCCGTGATGGTGGGCCTCAAACGTACTTGGCAAGAATAAATCATGAATTGCAATAAAGTCCAAAAATGGCTGGCTTTTCTCATGTGTACCTTCTGACTGCCATGATCCAACACGCTCGTCCGGTTGGCCTCCGACCCTACAATTAGCATCTGCAAGCAAAAGCTTCGGCCAGGAGTCATATGCTTGAGGGATATGTGCAGTCACATCATTCCAGAATTGTTCAGTCTCCGTGAGAGCTGCTCCTGAGTGTGGTGCGTGTGCCGCAATAATAATGCATTTCAACGCACGAGAGCGAACTCTCAAAATCAGCAACCTGGGAAGCGCAGCGATGATCTTGTACATGTCATCAGAAAAGTACACATCTTGGCCATCAATTTGCCCATGGGATATGCCTTTAGCAAGTCCAATCATCATTCCATAGTGCCCTTGTGCAGTGGCAGGGCTTTTGATAAGGATATACCGTGGGTCATTTGACCTCATCAGCTTCCTAAGCCGTGTTTCTTGCAAACCAAAGACATGAACACCATGCTGATGAAACGTTTCAAGGATCCATTCCTGTCTGGCTGGTCCAGTGCATCCTATGGGATCATCAAAGGCAGACCCATTTTTCAACGTCAGCACATTACATGTTGCCACCAACAACATAACTTGTGCATGGACATCAGCTTCATCAGCTTGTTGCTCCAATGCGACCACTTGGGACGTGGGGCAAGTACTTGGTTTGACCGGAAATGCAAAACAACCCTCAGAATAAGTCACATCTGGAAGAGTCGTGAAGAGGAACCAGGCCCATTCCATAGCTCGTACAAATGACGCCTTAAGGCTGACACTAAGGAAATGGTGCCAGTCTTGCAATGGAAAACCCTGAGCAGCACAACGTGCCAACGTGTCAACCAATTCATTACCCGGTTCTCCCATGTGGCTCGGGCAGAAATGGTGCTCCACAGCAAGCTGAAATCGTTCCTCACACAAACGCAAAACACTGCGGATCAAATGACAAGTGTGCACAGCACGAAGTGCTTGCCATCGTCCTTCAGACTGTCGTCCCACTGTTAGGGAATCAAACACCAGCTCACAGCAAGGTACACAGTCATAGACTTCCTTGAGGATCTTGCAAATGTCATACAAAAGTTTGACAGCCAAATTTGCCGCAAATGTTTCCGCTTGATAGGAACCATGCACGTCCCCTAGCTCACTGTTGCCTGAGACTGCACCCGCAAAGGCCCAGTCATGTCCACACTTGACAAAGGCTGCTGCTGAATACCCAATCTTCCCAGTGTCAGCAAAAAAGGATCCATCATAGTAAATCCTCACCGTCTCAACACCATGATCAAAAGAGTACCATTGTGCGCGCATCCATGGAAGCGTGTCAGGGTGCCAGTGTGCATGTTCCTGTAGCCTCATTTCGATGTCAAAAGCAGGTAGTACAAAGAAAGTATCATACCAGTTCAGAGCAGAGATAGTTTCCATCATGTGCAGTTTGAGATGAGTGGGTGAAGAGTTTGACGTCTTTTGTCCTGTGTCATCAAGGCTCTCAACTCTGGCTTCCTTTGGATGCCTGAGGAGCGGCTTCTTGGATTCAGTGTGAAGTTGAAATAAACTTTGATCATCAAACGTGTCATCCCAATCATGCAAACTTTGACGATAGATATGGATGTTGAAATTCACTCCATGTCTGGCTTCAAAAATCCTCTCACCTGTGATCTCCAGCCCTTCATACCAAACGCTGCAATGGACTCCAACAACAGCAATGTCCGCAGATCTGCGTGCAGCAGCCACAATATCTGAAGCGCGAGATGTAGTGGAAACAACACCGGCTGCCGTGAATGGCTGACCCCCCCTATAGGCATTGTCATAAGTGGTAATCACCGCTCCTCTTCCATCACTCGGAATGTGCTGATGTAGGAGAATGTGGATACTAGACAAGGGACTAGAGGCAGGCGTCGGTGAGACCAGTGCAAACTCAATTTCCGCACTAGCATCTTCCAGATCGTGCCAGACACGTCTGAGATCATTGGCCCAATTGTAATAGTCCTCACCTAACAACACAGGTCGGGATTGGTCGTTGTAAGGCACTTCAAGGGCATCCAGATACCAAGTGGTGACTTCCAAAAATCTTTCGGGTGTGCCTTGCACATTCCTGGCTTCAATGCTCCAACGGCTGTGGAGTTCCTGGACAAAGGGAAGTTGATCTTCCATGCGCAGAGACAAACCTGGATCCATTTCAAGTGCAGGCCCCGTGTCAAGGAGCGCAACTTCTTGTGATCGCAAAACAAGATCCAAATCCGATCGGCCACCCGGTGGAGGAACAACAATCTTCAAACCTTCCCCAGGAATCAGTGGGTCAATCAACTTGTATCCTACTGCTCCTCTGTGAAACGTACATTTGCGTCCACGACAAACTCGTTCCATCCGTGCCAAAAACATGACATGTTCAGGGGATGCATACCTTTCAATTGCTGCTACAGCATTGGAAATACCCTCAAGTCGGAGGGCTTGGAACTGGAAGCTGAGCAGAACTGGCACAACGTTTGGTTGTGGAAATTGGTACACAATCAGATGTCCAACGGTTCTGGTCATAGGAGAAGCAAGTGGTGTCGGACGCACCCATGTAAAAAAGATTGGCGCCCCCTGCTGGATCTTGTCACCCCACAACTGTTGGATATCAGCAACCCAAAGATTGGATAAAATGTCAAGTCTGGCAATTCGTGAATCTTCATTTGTGCTTTCCTCAGAACAGGTAACAAACCACGTATTGATATACACTACCGGTCCTTCCTCCTGATGTTCAACACGTGCATGTTCAGTGAAAACTGCGACAATATTCCGATACCATAATGGCCAAACCAAGGCGTTATCTGGGTCAAAGTGCAGAACACAAGTACTGTTGGCTTCCAGTGAGGCTTGAAAGGTACCAACGAACCCAGTGGTAACTGCCGGTGCAGGTTCAGCAACTGGTCTCTGCATGAATGAGCTGTGATCGGATTCATCGTCTGACATGGCCCGGCCATACAGTTCACGAATCTCAGATGAGGAAATTAGACTTGGCGAAACGCCTTCATCAGAGCTGCTTGGTTCAGGACTGGAAGGCACGTAGTAATTAGTCCAGAAATCAGCGACAGTCATCTGCCTACTGTCTTCAAGGGCATCGGCTGTGCACACTGTGTTCAGGCGTGGTGGGGGAATCTTGATTTTCAAGTAGTCCCCATGTTTCACCTCTCTAGGCAGGGTAGCTTGTTGAGGCCATGGTTGTTGGTTGTGCTCAACAAGACAACGGTAATGTTCAAGCCGGCAATACTCAAACACATTTGCGCGCATCAAGAGTGCATGACGTGTCAACCTAGCTGGAACAGCTAACGACTGTCGCTCAACTTGAGGGCTAACCTGATAATGCATTTCCATGTGTTGTCCATGAACCTCAATGTCCAGCAAAATGAGGACCGCAACATCCCCAACAGGAATATCTCTAACCATTTGAATGATCAAAGGCGAACAACCATGTGGAATGTCAGGTGGAGGAACACGCACTTCGTGGCATTCGATCACATCTTCTCGATCCATTCCATAATGGTAAGCAATCTCGTGCATCATGATACCAAAGTCAACCCAATTAAGCATGGCATGAATGGGATTGTCTCTCAAATGGAACATGATGGCAGACTGGCGGTCATTGACCTCAGGGGGCTGCGGTTCAGGATCATCTTCTGGATCATCATTTTCATCTTGCTCAGGATCATCTTCATCTTCTGACGGTTGGCTGCTACTTTCAGCTTCAGATAAAGCATCATCATGGGGTGCTACACCTTCAAAAGGATACCAACCAGGTGTCTCAAATTCATTATGCATGCGTGGAGAAGTGGTCTGCATGAGTGAAAATGCATCGCCAGTGGAGCTCGACACGGCCTTTCCCAAAAATTGGGATGACAGCGGAGCAACTTCAAAGGCTTTCCCACATATCAACTTAGAGAATAACTTTTGTAACGTTCTTTGCACTTGCCCATGTCGACAATGGGTAAGGGAGCATGAAAACGCACTTGTGTCAAGGCACATTACCGAGACATCATCCGAAAAGGAAACCTGTCGATTCATATTTTTGCTCTTGGTTTGCCGCCTGTGATTCGATCTCAATGCATTATCCCCCATGGTACCACACTGTAAGGAAAGCCTCAAAGCGTCTGTCTGAGCTTGCCATTCTGTCCGGAACGATGGATCCTCAAGGATCGAGTGTGACCATTTCATGACAAAGAGTCGATCAACTCCAGCAAAGGGCCATTGCCCTAGGCGCCCGCACTCGAAGGTCGCTTGGCGCCGGGCACCGCAAAAGGCTGCAATTGGCCAGCCCCATGCGTGTGGGTGGCCTCTTCGGGCCCTTCCACTCTCTGCTTCTTGTGAGTCTGCTCTTCTGCAACAATTGTCTCTGCTGCAGCCGAGAGGTCCTTCAGGGAGGTAGTCATATGGCGCAACCCATCCTGGAGTTTCATAGCGCTGCTGTCTGCCCTGTTGGATTCCTCCTCGGAGACTAATTCCACATCGTCTTCCCCAACACCACTGGCCACTGCTGTCACCTTGCTGTCCTCGAACATCGCCTTGGCTTCTGCCAATGCTGATTGTGCTTCCCCAATCTGACGCATTGCAGCAGCTTCCTGGCTCTGGAACTGACAGGTGAACTCCTGCCATTGCGAGACACTCAGTGACAAGAATATGCGCCACTGTGAGTGCAGCTGGGATCTTGCATCGTGCGCTTCTCGCAATTCTCTGCGGGCCCTGCTTAGGCTCTTCACCGCCTGGAACATCTCTTTGGTTTGTTCCTTCTCCTCTTTCACCTTCAGAGACTTCATTTCTTGTTGAACGTCTTCTGGAAGGGTCCCTTTGCTCTGATTGCGCTTGAGCGAGTCGATCAGAGCCTTGTATTCCGGAGGGATGGCGGCAGCGGGCACTGCTGCAGCTGATGCTGACGGTGCTCCCTGTGTGGGCATTTGCTGGGCCGCCTGCATCCACGATGTGCCTGAGGCTGGTGGAGCAGGAGGCGGTCTCAGAATGGTACTTTGTTCGTCCCCATTCTGACGTGGTGTATCTGCCTTCTCTGCATGCTTCTGCTTCCGTCTCGGGCTTTTGCCCTTGCCTTTGCCTTTTCCTTTCTTTCTGGGTGATTTGGGCCATTGTCCATGATGCTGGTGAGTTGGATAGGTTCCTTGATCTTGCCATTGCTCCCATTGATCGTAAGCAGTGGGATCGGAGTCTCCTACAACATTCCAGCGTCCTCCACATCGGTGGCAATGCAATGCATGTTTGCCATTCATCACACGGCACCAATAGCAGTACCAACCCGCATTTGTTGTTTGGGTTTGTGACATCTTTGCACTTTGGATCCACTGATTGATGGTCTGAATAAAAAGAGGGTCTCGCGAATGATGACAATGAAGAACTTTCCGTATTCCAACAAGCACCTTCAAACTGCCAATTCTTTGACCTGTCCGAATCAACCACCAAGTATAGCGTGCCAGTGCACGTGCTCTCCTGCCTTTTCTCCGGTGCGTCCACACAGAGGCCGTGGTAAAAAGGGAGGACACACAATAGCCAAATCAAAATTGTGCCAATGCGCATAAAAATAGTTGAATCAACCAGGGTATGACCAGTTCAGTTGAAAGCAACCAAAGCGAATTGTATTTGAATACCAAGGGCAACCGGTGTCAAGCCACCGCAGAACCAGACAATGTGTTGCAACCTTGGTCGAAAACCCGGGGTTCACGTGCCGGGACACGAAGGCTGTATCCAATCACAGTACCAGAAAGCGCCGAAGTACCGGATGGAATTGCAAAGCCCGTGGGTCCCCTAGGAAAACCCACTTAGGTCGAGCGGTCGGGGGGTGTTTTGAGCCCGACCTTAAAATGCCCAGATGCCACTAAAAAAAAAACAAAAAAAAATGGGACATTAGTTCTGCACCAAAAACCCGTCTGTCTGGAAGCTTCATCCAGTCCCAACCCAAAAAAAAACGCTCCGTTGCAGGCAACTCATCGACTGTCGTGGTGGATTGTCCCTCAGGGGGATTCCCAAAAATTAAAAAACAAGCCCCATGTTTGATGGTCAAATCCTGTCAAGATCACAATATATTTCGCAGTTTCTCCTGCCTCCGTTTATCGCTTACTGATGGAATCCCGATCTTAGTTGGTTGACACCTCAAAAAAAAAAAATCGTCCTTAATAATCCCTATAATCCCAAAAAAATTCTTCCGAAGATCTCCACGCAGATCTCCTCCCATCCCTTCCCAATCCCTGCCCATCCGGCCTTCCGGTGGCCGCCAGAAACTCCGTCAACAACGTGGAGCTGGGGCTTCGGTCGAAGAGATCGGACCGGAGCTCGGGATGAGCCTGGCTGCAGATAAGACCCGGGAGGTTTCCTATTTTTAAGATGGAAAGATATGGAAAGATGAGGCAAACATATGGATATCATTGGATATCAATCTTTGGGAGATACAAAATGCACAAAAGCCTCGAGACTGACTTGAGATATATGATTGAAGAGAAACTCATGGATACTTCATATGTTTGAGGTCCGAAGAAGTTGACTTTGGATCTTCCAAAGTCCGAACCGGTTGTGGTGGACACACCAAACCTGATCGGTGCTTGAGCCACCCTCTCTCCAATCCATCATCCCAAATTCAGAATCGCAAGGATAACATGTATGTATGTATGTATGTATGTATGTATGTGTGTATGTATGTATGTATGTATGTATGTATGTATGTATGTATGTATGTATGTATGTATGTATGTATGTATGTATGTGTGTGTATGTATATGTATATGTATATGTATACAAGGAGGGGCCACAAGTACGACACTGGCTCATGCTGCCGAATCAGGCCCTTTTTCTGTCCCCCACGAGTGTCTGCGGTGGGCCACAAACCTGAGCTGCAGAAATTCAAGCAACAAGGCGGAGAGATATATGCAGAAAGCACCGGCAGAAACAAAGGCAATGAAATGCAATCAGAGGCAGAGGGAAAGAAGTCATACCATCATCCTCCCCCATGCCCCTCTAAATCAATGTTGTTTTTCGCAAACTGGAGACTTGCTGGCATCCAAATATAGTACAGCGTCACTGCCGCGGATCCAGGTCCAATGAAACAATCAACTTTGATTTCGGGGCGAGGGGTTTTTATATGGGGCTGGGTACTTTCTATGTTGTCGGGAGAAACATGCAAAACGGATGGACCAGTGACAGCGGCTCCTTTAACATTTAATTAGGTGCAGTCAGCACACAGCTAGACACTCGGGAATCCTGCAGCAAGAAATTTTGCTACATTTTTCCCTCCGGAGAGTATGAACATGGTGAAGCAACATGGACATGCCGGGATGTCCTTCAAATTTTCGATTCTATGCTGGAAACGGTAAATGGTCAGTCTGGACCGGAGCATCAGCAACTCACTCTCGGACCAGCACCCTTTCGGCACAAACAACGATTGCCAGTTACATGTGAGAAAAGTTGGTTGTGTCGGTCGAAAATCCAAATGGCCACTGTACAAGTTCAATGGCCGATTGATGCGTAGCGTCGCACTTTCCAACCATAATAAGGTACTGCTGACATCCAAGGCTCCATGGTCAGGTCTCCAATCATCTAAAATGACCACTTGGGACTGCGGCAAATCTAAGAGAGGATACGACCCTCGAGCTGGACAGGCGAACACCTCGGCTGCTCTGAGGAGGGCACATCAACGTCTGGCCGTCCAAAAAGGGGAGGCCACAAACAAGGAAATAAGGTCTACCATGTTAAGAATGCATGGCAAGAGTTGGGTATTGTTGGTCCCCATAGCTACAGGTTGATAGATCTCGATGGTACCAAGGCGTGAAAATCCCGTTACAAGAATCAATTCCCAGTTACTGGACTCGTCTCGGGCATAAACAAATATGTGCATAGTACTTGAGTCCCCCCGGGGGGCAGAAACTTGTCCGCAAGTGAGGATCTTTTTAAAAAATATGATCATTGGGAAACGGGTGAGGGTCAGAAACCATGTGATGTGAAAGCGGTAGCCAAGGCACGCGCTGGAAAATTTCACGCAATGGCTTCAAAATGAAGCTTTTGCCCTCGTTTCCGGAACCTGTGAAGCATACTGCATCTCCCTTCTTCTGCATGCCCAGCATGAGGGCCTGACGCAAATGTTGGCAAAGCTGCCCCTCCTCAATGTTATTGTTGCGGAGAATCTCGCGAGCTGCTGGTGCCCAAGTTCTGTCACAACAACACTGTCGCCCCAAGGCGGCAGTGACACGCTTCCACGTAGTTGTCTGAGAATCTGCGATGACGCGATCACATGATTCTAGTGTGCAGCACATGGCGACCTTCTCTCTGATGGTGTTGTTTGTGCGGAAGAGGTAGTTCAGCAATCTTTCATTTCCGGAATTTCGCCCATGCTGAAGGAGTTTAGCAAGCAGGACAGGGTCATCGACAGTGAGCCCAAGCTCTTTCACTATTGGCCATAACTCCAAGTCAGAGAATTTGCATGGCCCACGCTTGCCCGCAGACCAACGCTGCAAAAAACGCTCTGCCACCTTCTCTTCAATTGCAGTACTGTCCAAGACCCCATTGATCGCATCTAGAAGAGGCGGATGCTTCCGGCCCCCACTGCACCACAACAAGGGATCTTTGTCCAAGGCGGACAGGCCCTTCTTGTCAGATGGCAACCAGAGGTACCGCAACATATGGGCATATTGCATTTTTCTGTGCTTGCTGTGGTCATCAATAGCAATGTTGGCAAAATGAGCAATGTAGCCAGCTTTCGACAACTCTTTTTTCCATCCAACCCATCGACAAGGGTGCGACAATGCTGTCGGCACATGGAAGTGCCACTGTCCACTGCCATGCGTCTCCCGTCAGCATATTGTGTGATGAGATGATATAAGGATGAGGCTCCGGGAGGTGAGTGTCAATTTGCGTGGTGCAATCCTAATGTAAATGGAGTAATCAGGGTAAGGGGTGGCGAAATAAGGGTAAGACTTCCAGAGTGCAATCCCAATGTAAGTGAAGCAAATAAGGTTAAGGATTCGAAAAATACAGGGAAGACTTCCGGACTGCAATCCTAATGGAATTGGAGCAAATAAGGTTAAGAACCTGGAAATTCACAATCAAAAGAATTAGATGATTCTATTCATTTTCTTATTATGTGGACTTTCTTAACCGTATTTTGCTCCGTGCCTACAGGATTTGCCCAACAAGCTCCTAACAGTATTTTGAGATGTCTTAACCTTATTTGGCTCCGCGCCTATGGGATTTGCTCAACCAGCTCCTAACAGTATTTTGAAATGTTTTAACTTTATTTTGCTCCGTGTCTATAGGATTTGGCTTCAAAATCTGTTCTCCACACCAAGGGTAAAATGGCAAGGGCGGAACATTTGATCAGCTCAAACCGCATGGCCATGAGAATTCTGACTTTGCCAGAGGCCGCAAAAGATAAAACACCCAAAGTGATTTCGGCACATGAAATTGGGATTGGCGAAGGATTCAACATGGGAACCTTTGAACCTGATGCCTTGATTGAATTCACATTTGTCTCTCCTTGCAACATTTTCGAACGTAACACTCCCTGACATGTCGCCCTTGGCTTTCCAAACAGTCACTTTGATGACCCAATAAGCGGCTTTTTTCAAACAGGCGCAAGGATGTTGACTTCAACGCCTTCGGCGTATGCATCCGCATAGCTCACCTTCTGCTTTTGAAGAAAATGAGGACGATTTCTGCTGCAGCTCAACCGCATCCTTTTCGGAAGCATGAATGCTGTAACCTCACTCAGCTGCACGGCGAGCAATGAGCCAAGCCAGGTCACCCGTCGTTAAGCCTTGGGCTTTTTTCATGAGACGAGATCTGCGGCGAACCTGGCAAGAAAGATATTGACAGGCGCGCATGCAGTCACATGGCCAACGTTTGTTGACATGCATCAACCCTGGCAAGCTCAGGGCTCATGTCCCCCGCCTCCTTGCGAATCTCTTTGGTCGATTCTTTCAGCTGCTGCTTCAGCACGGCCCTTGCTGCGCGTAAGGCTGGCAACTGGTCTTGTCCACGAGTGAGTGGTGCAGCTCCAGCTGGCACTGCGGCAGCTGGTGCAGTGGCAGCTGCATCATCCGACATGGTAAAAAGAGAAGTAGCTGAACCACGGTGGGTTCCAAACGCTTGAGGCTTTTGTAGCAAAAAGGCTGCAGAACCCATTGGTCATCCCAGCTGCCCTGATGCATTTCCTGTACCATCTGCGTTGCATGTGAAGATGTTTGGGTAGTTTTCTGGTAAAAGTATCAAGAAACAGTTTATAAATATATATTATGTGAACCTGTAGTGTTCATACTATGACAAGCACGGCTTGGAACCATCACTGATACAGGGCCTACATTTCCAGCCCCCTAAAATGAAACCTTGGAAGCTTCAAGGCCATGGGCCCTCACAGTATGTATATGTATATGTATATATATGTATATATTACATACACATACATACATGTATATAATATTATGTATATATGTATATACCTGAATACCCTCAGGCCGGGGGTGCCGCCCAGAGGTTTATCATGGGACCAACTCTTTACATATGGTTTTTTTAGGGGTTCATTGTTTTGTTTTTTGAGTTTTACTTACCACGGTTTCAATAAGATGTTACTTTCAAGGCTTTCTTGCGTTTCATGTCAGATTTAGGTTTTAGGATTTGGATTTGGGGTTTAGGGTTTTGTGTTTTGGAGACAAGTCTCGTCAGCCAAGTTGCCATTTCACCGACGTACCAACATGCAAAAAACACTGGCCATGCGCAGTTAAAACCCACTTCGCCGGGCAGCACCCCCGTCCTGGCCGTATATGCATTAATATATATATATATATATATTATTTATATATATATGTGCATACCTGTGTATGTATGGTATGTTATGTTGTGTTGTGTTATGTTATGTTATGTTATGTTGTGTGATGTTATGTTATGTTGTGTAATGTAGTGTAATGTAGTGTAATGTAATGTAATGTAATGTATCTATGTATCTATGTATCTATGTATCTATGTATCTATGTATCTATGTATCTATGTATCTATGTATCTATGTATGTATGTATGTATGTATGTATGTATGTATGTATGTGTTGAAAGTCTCAGCATTTCGGCCAATACATGCTGAAACTCCAGCTTCACATCTGATGCTTCCTCTGTTCCAAACAGCCATTTTTTCGGGCCTTCAGCTGCAGAGGATTGAACCTCAGAACTCTGAAAACTGAATTTGATCATGCACTAAGTTTTTTTCATTGTCCTAAATCCTTTACAAAAATCCGAACTTCAAATGACATTCCATTAAAATCTACTGCAAAAATCAAGGGGCTGATCTGGGGATTCTGGTGGAAGCAGTGGCCCATTTCTTCACCATGTCTGGGAAGAAACACTGCAGCTTGGGGCACCCAACCAGCTAGTGAAGGATTGCACCTCGATTTTGCCGGTGCCAGGAACTACTGCGGCCTCCCTTGTGGCGCCAATGGTCTTTTTCGTGTTTAAACACATCTCAAAAGTATGAAATGTAACGCAATGCGGGAAAGGATGAAAAATGAACATGTATATAAGTATACATATATATATATATATATCAGCCATTATCAGCCAATTTTGCTGGAACTCAAAGAGTACTGTGAGAACATGTCTCGAAAACATCAACCAGTCGGCCGCAAATGATGGCCCAGGACCCAACCTCGATTTTTCTACTCGAATGACAGTCATTTTGAATGGATTGCCCTGATTGCCCTGACCGAGCGCCAGAAAATGTGAGATTGTGTGAGATTTTTTGAAGGTTCAAACTCCAGAATTATATCATTTGTTGTATACTCCATATTGTAGTGATATACCATTTTGTTCAAACTCCAGATGGTTTGGAACTCAGCGTGAATTCACTACCTCACCTGATAATTGTATTGTCACCGGATCCTCCTGTTCATTCGTAATGATACCGCATCATTCTCCCTCAATCCGAAATATCCTCAACCATGACGACCGAAGCAAATCAACAACAGGACGAAACAACAACAATCGCTCACTCACAGCAAGTGGTCCTTATTTTGTATCTCCACAAAGGATCTATATAACTTTCAATACCACCCAATATATATCCCAATATCACCTAGTTGTTGAGAATGCGCTTCAGAAGATTGAAGTGTACATCACCATCAAGATGCTGGGGTCCCTCGCCATCCTCGCTTCCCGTTCCTTTTTGGGACCATTTTTTCCCCGGCTATCCCTGGTGCCAAGTGGCCGTTTCCGGAGACGAGGGCGACAGCCGCTCTAACTTGTCCAGTGCATGGAAAGTGAAGCGATCGATCACTGCCTCTCTGGTGCGTCAATGGCCCAGTAATAAACCCATTGTCTGGGGATGGATTTTTGCCCATCTATAGCAATATAAGGGATGGCTGTTGGGTTTACCACATTACTTTCTATGCGTCTGTCAGTAGATTGGCTGAAAATCTTAACCAGAAAACCACGGTTTTCCCCATCAAACATAGGGGTTTCCTGTAAATTCTGCCTTAAGCCACTCCACTGCATCTGTGAAGAATGAAAGGTATCTTCCACTTCACGAACCACGGGGAGTCGAATCAACAAAACTCGAGTAGTTCACCGATGATGGGAACAGAATCCAAGCAAAATGCGGATATCACCCTTTAACCCACAAAAACAATGGAATGAGAACGGATGAAATGCGACCTATATGTCATGTACGTACTGTATGCGTACATATGTATGTATATATATGGCATATATATATATATATATATCGCTGCATGTATATACATATGGCATATAAAACATACAAACAACCAACATGCCATGGGCACGCCAAGGTACGACACCGATCTCGTGGTCGATGTGGTGGCTGTAGCTGTTCTCCTGAAAAGCTGGACCTGTGGATATATAATGATTATAACATATCAGGTTGATATTATATACTACTGGCATCATTGTTATTGTTTTTGTTATTGATATATATATATATACATATCTATTATATATACACTACATATATATATACTATATATATACTATATACATACTAAATATATATACTATATATATATACTATATATATATACACTACACTATATATATACTATATATATACTATATATATACACTATATATATACTATATATATACTATATATATACTATATATATACTATATATATACTATATATATACTATATATATCTACACTGTCTCTGTATAGATATATATGGGATTGTATAAAAACCCGGTGTCTTTTTTAATGTCCCAAAATCATGTTGTCGTTTTTTTACTCTTATCGTTTTCTCAGGTGGTGGGCTCTCTGTACTAGAAATGTGATAAAACAAATGTCATGTTTCCCTTTCATGTTCCTTTCATTTTGCTTCCATGTTCCTTTCGTGTGGATTTCATGTCGTATTCATTTCCCTTAATGTTCCTTTCATTTTGTATGTGTTCCTTTAATGTTCCTTCATGTTCCTTTCATGTTCTTTTCACTTGGCATTCATGTCCTTTCATTTTCCGTCGCTATGCATCAAACATACAGGTCTTCGAAAGGTGATATGTTCAGACCGGTCAGGTGGATATCCACCAAAAAGGCAACAAAGGCTCACGTTTGCATCATATTTCGCCATCGTTTTTGTTATCGTGTTGCTATCGTTTTGGAGGCCGGTAATGCATTGGTAGTGCTAAGGGGCAAGCCAAGCTAAAGTTAAAAGCCCGGGGTCATTATACTGTATATATACTGTGTGTAGATATATATATATATATTTATACTGTATATATATATATACATATATACTGTATTTGTATATATACATCTATACTGTATTTACATATATATATATAATATATGTATACGTGTATACTATCTATATATATATATACATTTATACTGTATTTATATGGACTGTATATACATTAGATGTACTCATTCTGGAGTAGAAGTAGAAAGAATATACAATTGGACCATCTCCTGTTTGGGAGTGAAGTTGGTAGATATTCCAGCTTTTCCAGGATTATATACAGATATGATACAGGCTTCAGCCCAGGGTGAGTGTGCCAGAATCATCTTTTCCCCATACAGAATGCTGTTCTTCAAAGAACATGCAAGTAACCCCAATTTGCAATGCAAATCTATGTTTTCCTACTGAACATATTTGGAGGTGCCCATTCAATTATGGGGTACCCCTAGATCATCCAATTCAACAAAGGCTGTTCCATTATGAATTTTAAACCATCCAGCTATTGGGGATCCCCCCTGAAATCTCTGCCTTCTTACCGCTGCTGCCAATGGCAAGGACGCCGGGAGAGTAGAACCTGGCAATCAAACATCCACCATTAAAATTCATCAGCCTGAAAAATTGGGATGAAACTGAAATTAGTGGCTATTATATGCTATTATTATATAATAGTTCCTGTTAAAAATTAGTGGGGCTAGATGTTCCTATTGAAAATTTGGGCTAGTCTAATGAGTCTATTGCAAGGTGTGTTTTCCACAATATATATAATATATATATATATAGAGCCGAATGAAAAAGCATGAGGACACATGCAACGTCCAACGGTCGAAATATGTTTCATTTGGTAAGCCGAGATATACTGGGAGAAAGGATAAAGCATAGAGTCAATGGGAATTCCAGGATCCTAAAATGGAGGTACTGTACCATATAAGACCATATTTTGGGGGGTATATCCCCTTACATAGCCCTTACATAGACCTTATATATGGTAGGTACCTCCAATTTAGGTTCCTGAAATGGCCGTTGATAGAGCAATGTACAGAGTATGTCATGTTGTCCTGTGGATACCACTGCAACACAGTGGAGGTGCAATCGGATCAGTATCTATTGCAGGTAATTCATAGGGATATGAGTGGGATACCATGGTTGCGGGCCAAATTTGTTGGACAAGAATACGCAACAGGCTATGGGTCGAGGATTCAGTCCACACTTCTCAAATGAACCATAAAGGGATGGAGCAGCATTTTTCCCATTTTTTCCCATTTTTTCCCAGATACCCACATTTTAGGCTGAAGATTGTGTTTTTTTTTTGAATGTTCAAATTTTGGAGAAATGTCCCATATTGTCCCATCCATCCCATCCCCTCTAACATATTCTAACATAAGAACTTTCACTTCCCAAATATCTTCACAATATGTCTGAAATCCCCAGGTCTTGCTGCTGAAGTTCCAACTTTTCGTGGAAATATAAAGCTACCCTCCAGTAAATGAACATAGACCCTGGTAGTCATCGGGCTTGGAAGATTAGTTTCCTCTAAAAACGGTGATTTTCAGGGTCCAACTGTTAATTTACCAGAGGGTTACGCCCTGTTCGCAAAGCTGGGTCCCACTGGGAGCTGCTGCTGGTTTTGCAGCGTGGCAGCTTGACATGTGTCGCTCACCCAGAAGATCTGCTTATAGCGCCGCCTTGAAAGTGGCACTGGCTGAACAGCTGAACACACAAATAACCTCCGCTCATCAAATATGGCAATGGAAAATTCCCCACAAACCTCGAATCATATATACATATATCATATATATATATCATACATATATCATATATACATATATCATATATATGTATATCATATATATATACCATGTATATATATATACATACAACCTCTGGGTAATCAGAGCATCCTTGTGGGTCCGGGCAGTGAACATCAACAGTATGACCGCTAGCTTTTTCAACTCAACCCGGACGTGTTGCAGATCTCAGATTAAAGGAAAAACAGCCGTTCAGTTCGTTTAAGTGATGTATTTGGTTTTAAAAAAATCGAAGCTTAACGGCTTAACCCACCATTTAAGAAACAAATGGAAAACGCATTGAAACCTCCCTAAAGTGGTGAGATCATGGTGAGATCTTTCAAAAAATCCATCAAGTCCCTGATGGCTGGCCCTTGGCTCCGCGCTGCTGCTGCATCTGCTTGAAGGCATCTGCAATATCCGTGGAAGTCAGCTCTTCCCAGTCCTGAACAAAGGCCCGTTGATAGAGAGATCCTGCAGAAGATCTATGGAATATGTATCGAAATGTATAGAAAATGTATCGAAGTGTATAGAATATGTATGGAATTTCGGAAAAATCTCACTAACTTGATGGAAGATTCAGATGGAAAGTCCATATTTCATCTACTTCTGGATGATTAGAACTATGTCAACTATGAAGGCTGTAATAATAAGCCTCAATAAGGTTTACACATGTATTAACATATACAGGTCTATGTGTAGATTATATAATATATATATACATATATATATACATATATATATACATGTGTGTCGTTGTCATCCAATACGTTGATTGATTCAGAGCTTTCCAGAAAGGCAGTTTTTACGGTTTCTCACCTGGAACTTGATGAACTCTTCGCCCGAATGCCCGGTGATGAAAATGAAAATGTTGCCTTGGCCAACGCGGGGCCCCGTTGGCCCCGATGATGATGTCTCAATGGTAGTGAAATGATTAGTCTGATTCGTGTTCATCATAGTCAGCCAATATCAGTAGTAATCCAGGTGGTAAATCATTTTTGGGGGATTCCTCAAATTCGTAATCAAAATTACGAGGTATTCAAGGGAACCCACAGATCACAATGGTCTTTTCAGGCGGGTCCGTTCTGAAAAGCGAGCTTAGAAGTGCCGATTTATTTGTCTGTGTGCACTCCCTGTACGAACTCTCAGGTTCACCAGGTAATCTGGAAGTAGTCTTGCCAAATTATATTTAATCCGCTTCGAAAGTTTAAAACTATACCCATAGGATCCATGGTGCTGCTATATATGGTACTCATGGATTCCATCAATATACCCCAGTCATGTTAGCATATATACCAGCACCATGGATCCTATGGGATATAAAATGAAATGACCCACCAGTCTTTGTAAAGTCCGTCAGAATCCATCATCTCTGTGTTTTTGTTGGTGGATCTGCCGCCCGTGACTCGTCTTTGGGGGTCTTTGGCAGAATGTCGGAGGGTTCGCGTGGAGAACAAACCATTGAAATATATTGAAATCATGTATTATGGATTTTTATCATATTGAAATATATTGAAATATATTGAAATCATATCTCAGGGCTATTTTTATGGATTTTTCACATGGATGTGGGTCAAAGACATTGGATACACCAAGAAAAGGTGGGTACCTAAAAAAAAATATCCCAATATGAAATATCCCCCTTAAATGGTACCAAATACATCCATGTTCATCCCTTACACCCATGGTTTCTGGGGGTGTGGAAAAGAACGGGGAAAGGGATTGCTGATGTTTTTTTATTCATAATCCAATAATCCTCTGGACCAGAAAAATATCGTTAGTCCTCATCCAATAATCATAAGTATGAAGTATCAGCATCCAATAATCTGGATTCGTAATTTCATGGTAATTGTCAATATCATATGGTACATGATCAATACTCGTCAATGATGATAATGATGATTACTTACTCTCCAATAATAATCCATCATCCAGACCTATCCAATTATCATTCGTGGCACTAATCATGATGATGATGATTACTTACCACTGCATCTACTACTAATCTGTTAAAAATTGCTATTATCAACAGAAAAGATTAGAAAAGATATCATTATCACCAATTCTCATCTCACGAGTCGTCATCATCATCATCATCATCATCATCATCCTCCAGAAAATCCATGGACCCTTCATTCCATCGAAATGATCCAATTCCTGGGCCCGGCACTTGAGGCATCGGTCAACAAGCGCTTGTTGCGAGGCGTGCTGGGAGGATGGCGACCTGTAGGAAATGCGTCACGGGGTTCATGAGGGGATTACCTTGAAATCTAGGGGGGTTCATGAGGGGGTTCCTATGCTTTCCAGCAAGATTTTCCCTTAAGGCCCTTGGGGTATAGACTTTGGTTTTATTTGGCGATGGGTCAAAAGTTTCGGCCCGGAAAAACCAGAGATTTTGGCCATGCTCAGTATTTTTAGGGAGTACCCGATTTTGCCAACCAAAAATATAGGGGTTCACGAACAAACAGAAATTTTAAGAAGTGTAAAAATGGCACTTGCATCAACCGAAAATGGTGATTTCGGCGACAAGAAAGTGGAGATGTACAGTAAAGTACCCATGGAAGATGCAACTTGGAGTTGCTGCGCCTAAAAAGTATTCTCAGTCGTTTGAACCAAATGGTGCATGCCCACTGGGAAAGTCAAAGATCATCTTCAGCCTACATCTAGAGCAAGGGTGTTCAATTATGATGTGTTGCAGGACTAAATTCCTCATCGGGGTTGCTAGCATTCCAAACAACAAACTCAAACAAAGTAACCAGGTGCTGATCTAATAACGGTAACCACCATTCAGAATAGGACAAGTATCCATAAATCACAAATTATATAATATTGAATAAAATGAAAATTACAAATGATTTTCGGTGTATGTGAGCAGTAATTTTCTATTGCCATTGTGTGTTTTTTCGGCTACAGGATGAGGCCGAATGCCTCCGCTGTGCAAAAAAGTCACCACTGAGGACTTTTTACTGTCAGAATATCTCACACCAGTCATGAAAAATTGTGACCGTCATGGTGTGAGATATTCTGTGGTGGATGTTTTTCATTGACTTGTTACTGTAAATCAATTGTGGAAGGTCATGAAAAATGAATAAAATGACCCCACTGTTAGAAGACCTACTCTAACGATGCTTGATATATTGATGTACGATCATCATGCTAAGGCATTTGGGCCAGCAAACTCCAAGTCTGATTGAAGTAGAAGTGGTTTATGTCCTAAAAGTATACTGTATAGATATGTATAGATTCCAAATGAACCTCTTGAACCATGCTGTTTTCCCCAACAGATCTCGCTGTGCCTGTGAGAAGTCTCAAGAAGTTTTCTACAGAGACTTCATCACCACGATAGTCCACCTGCAAGCTACGCTGCTTTCCACTGGAAAGCCATGACCAGAGAACTGACGTCGGGATTCCTGGGTCATTGCTTCTGATTTTTGCATGGAAGCCGCAGAATATCAAAAAAAAACCTGTCGAATTCGCACCTCCACCTCGGTCCCATAGAGATTCAGCTTGTGCTGCCTGGGAAAAACTGAAAAAAATTCAGGGATCCAGGGGTTAACTCAGTTAACTCCTCCCATGTGTTCCGAATGTCAGCACTTCCTTTGTGATTTTTCAAGGCTATTGTGCACCGAAACCCAGGATAGGCCAGGGCACTTCTCATTGAAGACCGTTCCGGGCTTGGCATTTCTGGAGTTGCAAGGCACGTCCTGGGGATTCAGGTGGTCAGCTGATCATCTTTGTCATTTCCCACATCCATGGAGGGTTTTTTTGTGCCTAGATTTTGCTGATCATTGATCTAGATTCATCACCAAACTGGGCCAGAAACACACTGCTATGGCATGGGAGGGCGTTCCTTAAATACGTGTGAAGACGTAAATTTCAACAAAATGGCTGAGCAGGTAGAAACCTCTGCAAGAGACCAGGGCCTCTGTTTTGGGTGACATGGATGGGGGTCATTAATATCTAAGGTGCCAAAAAAATGCACAACACTGAAGATGATCGAAATCTGATCAAACTATTCAAGGTCTAAGGCTTCTAAGGTGTCAAAAAATGTCAAAAAAACATCTAACGTTTCAATCTGATCAATCTGCTGCTTCTTTTTTATCCGGTTGATCTCGATCCCCAGCAACATCAGATCCAGGGTGATCCCCACCTCCGCCATCATCAAAATGATCTGCGAGTCGGGAATGCCCAAGCGCTTCACCGTGTGATAGAAGGACAAGGTCTGGGGCTGACCGGAATAGAAGGCCTTACCAAGTTTGGATGTGAAGTATGTCAACGATCACAAAGAAAGGGTATTTGAAAAAAATGTGTATATGTTATGTATAATATATATATATATATTGATATATTAAGTTTGTAATAGTTTGTATAATATGGTGAATATGATACATATATGACATATATATATATAGGGCATCCATGTACAAAGATGTATATATGTTCGTACATCAATTTGCCAAGGTCTGGATGATGGAATGTACGGATCTTGAATTGTGATTGATCGTAAAGTAAGTTAGAACTAAAATTCATGCAACAAGTGTGTGTGTGTGTTGCCATCTTCTACCTCTCCCCTTTACCGGACTAGGATAATTACGATATCTAAAAATTTGATCTAGTTCTAAGCTCACGAAAACTGGGAAGTGTCTTGGTTTGAAGGTGTTCTTATCTGTTGTACTGCAGTCCTAGAGAGGCGGCCAGATCGCTGTATGTGATTCCGCAGCTCACCAAAATGCTCAAATGCGATCCTCTGAACTGTGTAATTTGTCTGCTTCCTGCATCCCACTATCAACTCCTAGTTGGTGAATTCGACTCAGGGAGAAAAAAAGAGAGAGAGAGAGAGAGACTTCCATTTGTGTAGGCGGTATCAAAGACACAACCCAGCTCCAACAATGGGCCCTTCTTCCCATCCTCTACTCAAGGCTTTCCTGGGGATCCTCGGGCTTCTGCTTCTAACATTTTCAAGTCTTATGATGCCAAATCGACATAAATGGAACACCCCCCGCGTGTAGAATAAGACAACTAAGCAGGATTATAAACCACTGCCTGGGAAGCTTCTCTAAGAGGCTTCACCATTTTTTTCTCGGATTTCTTTGGTCTTGCCAGCTTCGTCAAAATGCGACCAGCACCCACCATTTCTGAGACCAGATGCATTTGCAGCATGGCGATAGTTGTACCAATACTTGGAGGTCTCAACCAGCACCGCCCAATTGTTGCCTGTCCAACGTTGGGGATGGGCGAGGTGACATGCTGTTGGGTCTTACGCAACTGCCATAGCTGCGTTTTCAACCTCTTCCCATGTTGAATTTCATGCTTGTAGGTCTCAGAAACAAGCTGACCGGCCAATTTCTCAAAGCAATTTGATGATCAGCCATGTCATACTCCATCTGGCAAGTTTAAGCTTGCTAATTAAAAAAAAAAACATGTGGGTTTATCCGAAAAGGGGGTATCTCATTCCATCCACTACTGGTTCATCGTTATTATCAATTCACTTCTATCAAACAAGTGTGGTTAACCGTCATCACCATCATCCTTCAACCCCAAAATCCAGTGGTTCAAAAACACACAATTTTTGATTCATGAAAAAAAAAGCCAAAAAAAAACACGGGCTATCCGGCTATCCCCCAAGCTTGGAGATTCCTCTGCTGAGTTGAGCACGTTCGAACGTGCCCAGGTCAGCGTCAAGGGCGTGACTGACAGGCGCCAGGAGTAGGCTCCTGGGACCCCTGGGATGACATGGATTTCACCACGTGAGATGGGATAAATCCCCTCCAGGTTCCTCAAACATTTTTTTAGCTGGGAAATCCATGGAAATCCCCCAAAAAAATGGAGGTTTGATGGAAAAAGATGGGAAAATCATCTACAAATGGGGGATGTGAACAACTGCCACGGTTGATTACTGGAGAGTATCCAGCAGAGTATCCAGCATTGCCACGTTTGATTACCAGAGCATAACCAAGGGGGTTAACGTTTCCATGGATTTCAGGGGAAATCGACATCGATTTCAGAGTGTTCCATGGTTTTCCGACGTTCCCTTAAACCAATTCTGGGGCACTGGGCCCACAAGCTTCACAAATCAAAAAGCAGGGGGTTGGACAAGGTGGATCAGGGAAACTGATGGAAAGGGTCAAACTTATCAGCAATAGTAGTTTGCTGACTCAGGAAAGCTGTCAGAATCATCCGTACTGATGAATCCCAAACGACATCATGCAAACTCTGACAAACTCAGAAAGATACGCCCGTTCATGAGCAACCAGAGGTCTAAGTTCTGCCCGTTATGCCCGTTATGCTCCGTCCTCCAGCACAGCCACAGCCACAGACACCCCATTGCAACACTGGAGACTGTGTTAGCTCATCACCGTGCAATCCGTGGAACTTTCTGCGGTTGCCATGGGGAATTTGGTGTCAATTGATGTCACATGATCCTGGTCTGCTGTGAACCTGATGATTGAAGTCTAAGCATCTACTCCCTGTCCGTGTGGCTTGGCTTGGTTTTAAAATTAAGTCGCGCTGTGCTGAACCAAGTCCCAGGAATTGGACGAGAGGAAAAGTTACAATTTATGTACCAGTAGTGGGGAAAATAATTAATGGGTTTCCTGTAACGTTCAAAACGTTTGAAGCCAAGAAAATCCAGCTGCACCGCCTGTCATCTTCATCTTAGCCCGAGCCCCCAGTGGGAGAAAAGTTGTGGATGAAGCTACCTCTCACAACAAAAGCCTTGTTTGTGCAGGATCAAACACAAACATATGTGGTGATTGTAGTAGACTCAGGGGATGTTTGATCATAGAAATTATTTATTGTTGAATGTTCCATTGGGGGTCTTACTATCTTCTAGTCCTCTGATGATTCTTGACCATCCATGTCGTGATCAAGCCTATTGTTTTGAAAAGAGGTAGTTTGTTCTATGGATCAACACTAAACTCTCTAAACAGTACGCTGGTGTTCACAACAAATCTTAGCTGGTAGCAAGAATGATTTCCATCAGGAAAAACATGGAAAAAAATATGGGTTGCTTAGTAGGCCGTATGGTAAACCCATCTAATCCCTGAAAACTTAAAGCCTGAGTGTATGGCCAAATCCATCCAGAAAATCATGTGGGACAGACAGTCGAGGGCCATCGACTGCAGGCAATGGATGCAGCCAAGGATTTTAGCTTTTCATAGGGCACAATCATAGTGAATCATCATCAAAATAGCAGGCTCCTCACTTTTCTTTCATCCTTTTTTTGGGAGAGAAGAACCTGAATTTCCCCTTTTTTGGATCACACCCGTTTCATTTTCTTGAGATCAAAATCTTCTTAAGGTATTCATCATTCAAATCAACCCCATTCCAGTACTCATTTTGCTTGCCCTTTGCCACGCAATCGGCGCCTTTGCACCAGGGTGTGCTCAACTGGATGTGCTTAGCACACTGAGCGGGCCACCCCGCGCGCTGCCGCCTGTGTGAAACGACGATGCCTAACTAGCTCCACAACGATCCATGCAAAGAGAAAGAGACTTCAGTGAACCACTCCCCTGTGCCTAACTCTGTGCGACCTGGCACATTCTATGAGACTGACTCCCCATTTCAGCGAGGAACTTCGGATTTGTCATAGGTGTGAGCAGAAACAACAAATTTGAAGGTTGATACAGTAATTATGCAGAGTTCCATCAATGTGCTGCTCGACCCCAGACGTTCTTTTTTGCTTCACTGAAGCTCATCGAATGACAAAATGAATTCAGGATGAGTCCTGGCATATTTCGGGAGCAGCTGAAAGATGAGGGTGACGGTGACAGCCCAGAGTATCTTTGATCAGCTGGTGTAAGAGATTCCATTCAAGAACGTATACACTTTTGAAACCTCAGCAAAAAAAACAAGTCAAACAATACCAAAGGGCAAAGTCTTGGCCTTCTGGGCCCAACTCTGGGCAAAGGCGTGTGCATGTTCAGAGCTTACCCTCTGGTAAACTAACGTAACTATGGAAAATCACCATTTTTAATGGGAAAACTCACTATAAATGGCCATTTTCAATTGCTATGTTAGTTTACCAGAGGGTAACAACAATCATGGGTGTTCAACCAAACCGCATCACACCGCGGTGAACCGGCGACCTCCCAACAATCAGGGCTTTAACTAGCCATCGATCATTGCGGGGTTCTCGGGGTCACCCTTGGGAGAGGTTGGTTGAATACCCAGCCCCCTCCACTGAAACGCGTGAAGTTGCTACAGTGACGCATCGTATTTCTTGTGTGTGGTGCTTGTTCAAACCGATTGTGGTTTGTGTAA